TCCCGTCCATCTGCCGAGAAAACTGGAGATATCATCGAGTTCTGGCTTGGTGTCTTGGATGTGGCCAATATGGCCAAAGGAGTTGTGGATGTTTTCAATGCCAGTGTTGATCCAGCTGAGTATCTCAATGGATTGGAAAAGGCATTGGCTCAATTCACATCGACCTCCAGAACCTCGAGCACCATCAATGACAAGAGACGGGGATCCTTCGACTGCACACTGCAAACCGCAGAAGCCGAAAGGGTCATGAAGCTCATCCACGCAATCCCCGGATATGATTCGCTGGCCAATTTCTGCTGTCTCACGGAATGGGAGAAGGATCAGGTATTCTCTCATTATCGAAGGAAGAACAACATCACAGGGGATGACGCCAGCATGGGCGCTGATGCCGATGCCAAGCCAGGTGACGAGTCGTCGGCTCACCCTGGGGAGGAGGAAGCTGATGAGCCAGCGAACGATCCCACCGATGTGGTCAGGGACTCAGAGATTTCCGGGAAACAACAGCTTTTGGATGCGTTGGGAAAACTCTTCACCGTCTCTGAGGATGTCAACGTGTGCTTGTATTGTGGTAGCACCAAACATGGTCATCTTGAATGTGAACATGAGAAGAGAGATGAAGTCAGAAAGGTGCTAAAGGCCGTCCGAGCGTCGCTCGAGGCTGATAGTCCCACATCTGATGACGTCGATATGGAGCCTCCTGAGCACAAGAAGGACGGTTCAGGTGCTACTGAAGGGTCGGGGCAAACAGATGAACCTACAAAACCGAGGTTTAGTGAACACCAATGGTACGACAGCATCAGAACTATGTCTGAAGTTGGTGACCTCGATGAGTATGGTAGGTTCTGCATCGAAGGACGTGATGTTACAAAGCTAGGACCACAGAACGTTGTTGACCTCAACGAAGTGATCCGAGACGCTATTGTCAGAGGAGGAGGCGACACTTGGTCAGTGCCAGACTTCATGGCAAGCTACTCTGACAACAACATCAGGAAGACCTTCTACAAACGAGTCGAAGCGCCGCAAGATGGTTTCTTGAAAATCATCCCGACAACGGGGGCCCATTTCTTCAACTGCTCTTACTTTGGCGGTGTAGAATATGCAGCCAACTACCGCTTCGAGACTGGCAACCGGCTCGACACCTACGAGGACAAGGTGAGTACCTCACTAAACAGGATCCTGCGGCACAACGTGGGGAAGGTATCAGAGCAGCAGAGTCTGTCCTGTGATGACGCCGGCTGGGTGCCCATCGAGGAGGTGCTCAAATGTGAGTCCATCTGGAGGCACGAGCATGCACGCTGGCCACACGTGTTCCTTGCCCCAAAAGGAAGAGCAAATGATCAGAGTGCATGGAATGTCAAAGAGGCGAACTACCGCATGACATTGCTCTTCAAGATCATGTTCCACTGTGCCCGGTACGGACGTCGTGTGCGTGAACAAGTCTTGGCATTTGGGATCAACAAGGACATTGATCGCCGCAGCCTGACGTGCATTGACAACAATGTCGAAGCGGACACGCACATCCCTGATGAAGGTCTACTGCTCTACCCAGTGGCGGTCCGTGCTCCTACGGGGCACAAAGAAGGATCTTCAAGAGACGACGTCTCATTGCTGTCCTCGTTGCTTTCACATCCAATCGCACCCAACACCATTCTGTCATTACCGGTCTGTTTCCACATCACCAAGAAGACCAACCTCCGAAGCATCTGGAGGCAGGGATTAATTCCAGGAGGTCTTGGAGAAGGTCATCGGATGTTCACGTTCTTCAACCCGTATGTGCCATGGGATCACAGATCATGGACCATCACGAAGAGCGTTGATACGCGCAAGGGGGACTACATTTGCTTGTTCATCCCGACCGAGACCTTGATGGTGGAATATGGCGGTCGACTAACTGACTCGGGACAGATCGTTTCACCAAGGATCATCCCGTTCTCGGCAATCAAAGGAGGATGGATTCAGGACCCCAAGGACCAATACAACAAGACATGGCTCCGGTTGTTCGTCCCGTCGGGCGACGACCAGGTAGTCCGGTCTGGAACTATCAAATCAAGAACGGTAGCCACCAAGGAGTCCATCCTGAGGGTTGCAAGTCAATGCATCGACGCCGAAGACCAACCATATGACGAAATCGCCATGGATGCCATGAACATCGTCAACCAGTTCAAGAACAACCTCATCGAGCCTGGCGGACAAGAGCAATACCTGGCCCGCATCAAGCTGATTGACTACATAGTCGAACGCAAAAGGGTGCAAACGTCAGGTTGCCGTCATTGTCCTCACTGTCTCAACGAGACGCCGACAAAGCTAGCAGTGTGTCTAGTCTGCTGGACGGAACTTGAAAGTTGTGGAATCCGCCCATATCGGCTACAAGCTCCTGAAGACGATGAAGATGAGGCAACAAAGAAAGAGCTCGATGAAGAAGTTCGTCGACAAGAAGAATCGTTGTTCAAGGATACGGTCAACCAAGCACAAGAAAACGTATCCGAATCCAACGACTATGGCTTCAATCCTGACGAGGTCGACTACAATGAAGGCGATGATGAGGAAATGGATCAGGAGGAGGAAGCTCAACAGGAAGACGACGAAATCGTTGAAGAAGACGACGATGAAATGGACGTCGAACCTGAAGATGAACCTTCTTCCAAACTTCCAGCATGGACTAAGAATCTTGAGAGCGGCAGCAAGGGTATGCCAGAAGACGGACTTATCAACAATGATGTCTCCGAGGCCGCGGCTCACTTGTATGACAATGCTGTCATGTCAAAGGTCATCACAATGTTCAGGCTCTACTATAAACAGAGAGTCACTCTGACCCCAGAGGAGTACTATGAGATGATGACGGAAACCAAGCGAGTCCGGCTGGACCTGGACGACTTCTGCCCCTACACAGGCGAAGACCAGGATGGCAACCTCAAGCGACCAACAGAGCTGGAGTTGGACGAACTCTTTCAGGAGAAAGGGAAAAGGAACTCATGGTCAGAGGGAGAGAAGATGTACTCAGGACGACCAAGAAACATGATGATGCCTGTCATCAAGACTTTGGAGGTCTATGAAAAGATGATGGAATTTCTGGTTCGCGCCGGGTACACTCCCGAGTCATTAGGTTTCCTCATGCCAATGAACCGAATGCAGGCTGATGCCCAAGGGAAGCAGGAGATGCGAGTGACAATCAGCAACTTTCTTCGACGACTGCTGAAAGGAACCTTTCCAGAACACGAATCATACACCTTCTTTCGCTCCGGGAGCCACGGCTTCCCCAACTGCATCGAACTCCCAGCTTTCTCGGTATATCTGAGTCTGAGGGAGAAGGAACAGAGAGTGGAATTACTCTTTGCCGCCCAACAATGTGGCATTCATTTACCTCAAAACTTTGTCAGCAAGATGGCTTATGCTATTCAACTGGCTGAGGCCGAGGCGCAGAGGGGAAAGACCGAGATGAAAATGAAGATGGCTCCAACCCTTGGCGACGAAGTGGTAAGTGAAGTATTCAAAGCAGTCGGACATACTGCCGCTTCCAAGTTTGCCACCGCAGACGCGAAAGCCAAATCATCAGCACAACCTTCACAGAAACCTGAAGGCACTGGTTCAGCATCATCCTCATCGGCCAGCGCACCAAAGGCTAAGGCTATGCCGAAATCCCATGAACCATCAAAGGCACCGCCTGCGAAGCCCTCGTCGCCGAAAGCTGCTCCGAAACGTGCGGCAGGATGGGAGAAATCTCAAACAACACCTCAATGGAAGAAAGTCCGCCGTGAGCAGTGAACCCATCACCTCTGTCCATCAAAATGATCACTGGACTATAAGATGTGTATCGTCTTTGTGAACAGATGATCAGGAAAAGACCAACTGAGTGGACTCTGAGCGAGGCATTAGACTAATTCGCTTAGGTTCAAGACTTTTGATATTCCCAATCTGCATGAGATTCTGCACAGTGCACGTGAATTCGTCAGTTAGCATCGTAAATCTTTGGTAGCGAAGCGATCCATTTCTCCCGACGGGTGAGTGGTATGCCTAGCCAACGTAGAAAAGTAGGTGTTAGCTAGCAATAATTCGCGTTGTACAGCTTGATGAAACGCCAATGCATCGACGGCCAGAGAGTAGGCGAACCCTGAACCATTATTCCCGTCGGGTATGTGGGGAAGGGGGAGCCGAATGGCATGTTTTATGTACATAGGCGTAATTCGAGCAGCAGAAGGATTTAATTCAAAGTTCCCACTCTCGTGCCTACGGTTCGAAGATGCCGTAGGCATGGGGGGTGCGAAAGGGAACCAGGTAATACAACCACTGCACATGCTGAGCATGTATACAATTATGCATGGACTGCCAATCATTTGGCTCAAGTCATGCGCGAGGAAAAAGACCGTTCTCCGAACGCCATGCAGCGACGTTGCCCTGCACTACCAGCATAACCGGTACTACAATCAAAAGGGATAATCCAGAACAAGGATCAAATTGTTCACAATATAATATAATATGATATAATGTAACATAATATAATACAATATAATATAATATAACATAATATAATATAACATAATATAATATAATATGATATAATATAATATGATATAATATAATATGATATAATATAATATAATATATATGTATGTATGTAGGTATATACTAGGTTCAGGTGTCACAGGAGTTGTCGGACGACTTTCCAAAATCCAGCTTCCAGGTCAAGTCATCAGAACTTCTAAGTCATCAGAACCTAGTATAATACATGTATATATTTATACACACTGTATATATATATATGCTGTATATGATGCATATACTGTATTATTACATGCATTTTTATTTTGCAATCCTCTTATACAAATTACATAATCTTATCTTATATATACACGTACTCATTTTTCCCACAACATATATATATATCTATATATATATATATGTATATATATATATATATATGTATGTAGAACTGGGCTATAACCATGGCTATGAACCATATTAATACCAACCGGCCCACTACCAAGTGGAAAACCTCTCCAGCCATGGGATCATTCTTGTTGCCTAAGAATCCCAATTTCAGTAACCCTATTAGCTACAGCTATATTCCCCAATCCAAACGTTAAGCAAGTTATGTGCGTCAACTTGGCTAGCAAGTCTCACCTTGTAGGAGGCATGGCTCAAACACCAGCAGGGTATCGGTTCTTGTAGTTAGACATAGAGGAAGTGAATGATGAAGCACTGTTTCAAAAAAGGGTACAGATTTCCATCCATTTTTAACTATGTTTTTAATTTTTAAAGCCACCAAGGACCTCAACCCCCACATTTCTGAGATCATTTCGCTGCAGGGCTTTTCTCATTGCTCTTCTGGGCTCTGGGCTTTTTGGAGTCCCACAATTCTCCAGAGGAACTCAGCACGGGCGGCATATGGTGTGCAATTTTTTTGGGTGCCAACACTGGCATGTCCCAAAGATCAGGGACACTCAAACCCATCAAAAGCCATGGGTTTCCCTGCTGAAACAAAGTGTGTTGAATGATCTTGATCTACTTTGTTGCTGGAGAGAAATGCGATTCTTGCTGCAGAGATTTGTTGTCCGTCAGGCTTCCTGGGTTCGTGAGACAGCTACATGTCGGTGCCGAAAATTGCGTTACCCTCAAACCCTTGGTTTTGCTGTTCAAAATGACCAACTTTGGATGAATTTTGGGTCCATGACTCACCACACCCCGTGGATTTGAGTGCTTCGCCAGGAGCGCTTCCTCATTGACTGGACGGATGAACGGATCCTTTTCCACCCAAGTCACAGGCGCGGCTCCTGCATCCCTTTTTTCTTCCCATCCCTTTTTTCTTCCGATGAGTTGCTGGCCCCAAGCTGCGAGGCCGGCTGTGGCCAACCTTTGGAACCATTTCTTCGAGCAACCGGGTGGAGATCTCCCGGGGGAAACGATTCTCCAGAGCCAGGTCAAAGGAAAGGGCCGCACGGCTGGAGGGAGATGACTCTTAGAGAAAAGATTGCGGCAGAAGTGAAGCAAAACGGGGCCAACATTTGTGAACCATAGTTTGTCCAAATACTATGCTCTTTTAAAGAAGAAGATCATATTGGGGCAGTTTTTGGATGGCCAGGTGGCTTTAATCGAAACATACCTGACATTTCGATCAAGTTGATCGTTTGGGAGGATGCCTACGATTGCGACTTTGAAAATTGGGACTGTAGAATGTTTGGATGAATTCGGGTTTATATATATATATTATTCTATAGATAAATATCTTTTCAATTCAACTGTAGGCATTCTGCTACTCGAAGCTGGATACCACACATGGGGAGTAGACAAGGGGTATGTAAAACAACCGTCCAATTGAAGATTTATAGAATTGGGAAGTTCCGCATCTGGGATTTGCAGGAGACTTGGAGATTGCCTAAGCCTCAGAGACCCGCATGGAACAATTGTGAGTACCTGTTGAACATGTCACGAAATGAAGACACTAGACATCACTAGACAATGTTGAGATCTCGGGCCACCTTTGTTTTTCGCAATCTGTGGTGTTGACACATGGCCAGCCATGAGTGCCTGGGATCGTTTTCAGGTGGTGCGCTTTGGACCACCATGGTTTCGGTCCCTCGAATCGAAGCGTTCGACCGATGTCTTTGTTGTTTCGATGGATTTGACCATCATGATGGGCGTATAATGGCGTATAGCTGGTATGAAGCAACAAACACGGGGCTATCACCAATGAAACTTGGTTTTTGGTTGTATGAATCATAGTCAATCCACATTTTGAGATGATTGTCTCAGCATGCTTATATAGGTCGTAATTATAGGTATCAGGTATCGCAGCACCTAAGAGAAATGGTGGTGATCACCTATGTCCAAAAAAAGCATCCTTCCTAGGGCTGAAAAAGTCTCATTGAGTGGGTAATCAGTTTGATGGCCCTGATTAGCGTTGGCTTCCTGCTTGGGTAAGTGCCAGTGTCTTGTTTTTTGTCTTTGAAAGAAAACAGGGGGCCATGCTCATTCTATAGATGATCTCCCTCTGCACAACATATAGATAAATTGCCAGCGCATGATGATGAGACAATCAGTGCTTGTGAAGAAGTTGCCGTTTCCAGGATGAAAATCCAAGTGAAGAACATGAACTATTAATCATCAATCCATTCTCATAGGGATATATATATATATGTACATAATATACTGCATATATAATTAACTTATAACTATTATAATCATTTATAATCTATTATTGCAATTGTCTCTCACTTCAGTTTCCGATCTCCAAACCTTTCTCGGTGAAATGCACGATTTTGTTGATAGATTCGTAGCTATTTTGCCCCATTTTTGATGAAACCGCAAGGATCTCCCCCACCGAGGAAGTTCGGCGACTTCCGGGGAGCTGACGAGGGAAAGGGAGACTTTAAGGAGATCAAAGGCAGATCTCGATGGGCCGCTTTTGGGAGTTTGAGAGAATGATTTGGTTGACGATTTATTTTGGCGATTTGTTTGGATGATTTTCGTGTCAGCAACAGTGAGATGCCGATTTGAAGCTGAATTAAACACCTAGACCAGAAATCCAGAAATAGCGGAGAGTTCATTTCCAAATTTTCCAAATTCATCAGAGATGGCCGCAGCCGAAGTTCGGGAAATGGCTGCAGACAACCTGCAGGTGGACGCTTGGATCACGCCGCTGCGCAACGGGGCCGCGAGGTGCTGAGGTGCGCCTTGCGCTGTCGTCGGGGGAGGGGAAGTGGTTTCTCAGGATCCCTGGTGTGGGGAATCTTGGACAATCAATTACAGGGGTTAAATGGGGATAATATATGTCGATATATGTTGAAGTACTCAGTCATAGATATTAATATGTATAATTAAATTATATATATGTATAATTATATATATATAATTATATGAGTCTTATCCATGCTGGTGGGATGACCATACCAAACATGGCTCCCAGCTCTTGGAACCCACCAGAAATTAATGTCCACTCCCTCCTGATTTGGGTGTGAAATCTGCTCACATATACAGATATGATCACATATAGCTTGCCAACCCAGAGCTTTCACTACAAGTGAACAAAATGGTGCATGGTTCAGGCAAGAATTGTGTATAAACTCTTTGTGGTTCCCTATAATTCCAATTTCGAACTAAGGACAGGGAAATCGACCATTGTTCAACCCATTTGGGATGGCTCCACTGGGATAGGTTGGAATCAGCAACATCTAGAAACATAACATATAGAAACCCCATGGATAGTCATCATTTTCCCCATCATCATTGCCATAAATTGAGAAAGACCCAGATTTCTTCAAACCTTATCGGTTCCCCCATTCAGAATGACATATGTGGATGATTTTAAGACCCTCCATGCCTTAAGGAAGGCCAACCCAAAATATCCTACTGTTGGTTGCAGTCATGTCACGTATCCTATAATATCCCGTTACATTTGATTACATAATATCCCATTTAATCCCAATCATAGAATCATATCCCATTATTTGGGGAACATCACCATTAAATCATATGAGTTTCCCATCGTATCCTAAGTATGCTTTGTTTCATACTCCAATAAAACCATTCAACTTGCCATGGCAACTCCAAGTTCCGCGTTCCTCTCGTGTGAGGCGCTGGGTGCGTGTGCGTTCGCAGATCCGGCATCGCGCAGAGGAATGGGCGGAACAGCATTGGAAGGCGGGGACGCGGGGTAGCTGGAAATCTCATTATCAAAGGAAGTTGGGAAACAATCTTCTGAGTTAACTTATAACTATCTTCTCACTTAATCTACAACACACTCCACTACAATACAATACAATAGACTACACTACATCATACTAAAAGACAATACACTACAACGCAATACTCCACAATACAACTCACTTACTACAATACATTACACTACAACTGTATCCACGCCACATGTGTTCTTGATCTGGCAGATTTGTTGTGAATCCTCAGGTATCCGGCTGCTTGATTCCTGCTCGCTTGGGTTTTCCTAGGGTATCCGTGCGCTGTCCTTGGTTGATGTGTTTGTTGGAAGGTTAGCCGGAGCGTGAAACCGTAAGTTTTCCGGTGCAAAATCAGAAATTCCAACAGAACCTATGCCCAAAACTAGTGAAAGAGATGCCACCTTGTAGGGTGAGGAGTTAAATGAATGGAAGAGGATACAAGGTCGAACCATTCAACAGAAAGGTTTAATCCAATCAACTCCAACATCCTCATCCTCAACCCTCAATTTCACCCCCCGAAAGGACTTAAAAACACATCAATCCATTAATAACGATATAGACTATACTATAAAGGAACGCTCACACCAGATTGTTTAAGATTATCTTTTATCATCCATAGAGATACAATCATTTTAGTATTATACAACATCACCGCCATTGTTTCTGAACATTGGGATGGAATAGGTGAAGATGATGAAACGTGGAGACACTGAGCCTGATGACTAGTTCATAATTCATAATATCTCAACAGCGATTAGTATGAACCAATCTTTGAACAAGCATCCCTGAACATTTTATCAACCTAAACAAACTCTCCCCTCATTCAAACCAAACATCACCAGTGAAAGTTAGGGGTGAAATTGTCCCAAAAACTCCATCACATAAGACATCAAAGGCAAAGAGAAAACATTGAACATCAACCTTAAAGACATACAGAACAACCAACAATGAATGCTGGGATGTCCTAGCATCCTTTTCCCTTGTTGTCGCTGAATCTACATTTCATCTTGAACCAACCTAGTGCTCTCCCATGTTGGTTCGACAAGTTCCCTTCTGGCAATGTAGGATGGCTGACCCTTTTTTTTTCCTTTCTTTTGGTGGGGGAGCATTCAATTTTGACTGGTCAAATTCCCATTTTGACTGGTCAAATTCCCTTGAATCGCCCCCCGCCCCAAAAAAGTGGCCTCCATCTGTCAGGGCTCACGACCCCGCTGCCTAGCGGTGCACATCCGCCGGACTGACAAGTTGGAACAGTGTAGGCAGGAAACCCAGCGCAGGAAAGGTAGGGTAAGCAACCAACATCCCATAGTTGGCTGGGTATAACTACAAATAGTGGGAATGGTGGGGATATACTTCGGATATTCTTGAAACAACTGGGGTAGATATATAAGTATTTGATTTGATCTTAGTCATAGTGGTGCAACCAGCAATGATTCTGTTCATTTACATGGTACTTGCTTGTGAAGTGACCAATAGGGAAATGTCGACCACACAAAGGCAGGGCTCCTGGGTCTTCCTCCCGGCGTTTGGCTTAGCTCAATTGGCAAGGAATTGTTGCAGAGAGACTCCATGGCAGAAAAAACGGAGAAACACTGCTGTGCAACCTTCACAGTCTTCGACCCAAAAACCACTAGTCAAGCACTCGAGTGAAGACTTCCTCCACAAGGGTTCTTGAAGCCAGCAACATTTTGAGTCATTTTGGAAATCAGCTGAAATTCATCAAATTTCATCAACCCCAGTGGATTTTCCATGAATTTACCACAAATTACCAAAGCTTCCTCCAACTAGGCCATACTTCAGCCTTCGGTCCCTTTGGTCTCCGTTGAAGCCATGGGCTGTGGCGCCAGCACAGAGGGAGATGCCGTGACGCAAAACGCCAGGCATTCGGAGGATCTGCCCTATTGGCCCCAGCAGGAGATGGGATGTGTTGCTTCTGGTTGATGTGGAGGGAAACAACAGCGGGGGTTGAAGGTATATAAATATATAAATATATCCATCTATTTGTATCTGCGTATGTATGTATATATATATTAAATTATATTAATATATTACACATATATTTAATATATACTAATATATTACACATATATTTAATATGTATATATATATTATATGTTTTTTTTCTTGATTGTATTATTGTATGATACAGATGCAAAATTCGGGGATGGTTGTGGTTGTGGCACGACTGCGCTGACATATGTTCTCAATATTTCTCAATCAATTTCTTGGCGGCCGAAAATGGTCGACTGGGGTCGGGAGATGATGGTGAATTGGGGAAACATCAATTGATTTCTAGAAGCTTGTCGGGGATTTGCTATAATTTGGTGAACCCAAGCATAAATGATCCCGAAAATTACCATCCCCGAATGGTAGGCTTATTATTGGGTTGCCCACATTAATAAGTTGTCAGCATCAAGGGGTAAAGCGCCCGAGTTCTTAGGTCGTCTAAGCCTGAGACACACCCGGAATCTGACTATTTGGCGACTGTGCAGGGTCCATGATGATTGCTGAGGAGATTAATCATTGGTTTGATTGGTAAGGGAACATTTACAGGAAGCCCCTAAATTTGGATCTGTAAACCATAGTTTCCTGTAGATTTCTACTCCAGTGAGGTTTTTACGGTGGCGACATGTGGCTTTTTCGGCTGCGAAATAGGATGATCGGCCATTCCCGAGTTTCTTGGGACCCGATCCTGACCCACACCCACAGATGATACGATTTTTTTAGGGAGATCTGGGATGACTTTGAAGCTCCAAACTGACAGTATACTGTTACCTGAAATGAGGTGAACCAAACTTCCCCAAAATGAGTCCCTGCTGTGTCTTGTGGATTTTCAAGGAATTTTCAAGGATTTCCATTTTATTTGTTGGCGTTTAAGATCCAAATAACCATGCATCAAAGATGGAAAGAGATGCCAAAATGGTGTTCAATTTGTTGCTGCCCCCATCTTTGATCGACTTTGACCCATATCCATCTTCAAGATTTTTCATTCTGGGTCAAAGAATGGTTCATGGTTCATATCCATTGAATGATAAATCATGCCCTTTTTTTCACCAATGAACCAGAACCATTTTTTCTGAGGGGTTCCTTAGCAGGAACTGGAACTGAGCCGAGACGTTGCGACGGATCAGCGACTACAAAAGCTTTTGGAGAACAGGCGATGGATGGGATGGATGGCTTTTGGGAAATTGGTCAGGAAACATGACGAAGCTAGGGGTTCCTGTAATTTTTTTCTGCTAAACCAATCATCCCATTTAAGCCTTTCCAACTTTCGAACAGTTAGAGTCACTGATCCAAACATGGGTATTTCACGATGGAAGTGGGGGTGCCTCAAATTTGGTAACCCCAGGAAATCAACAGAGTTTTGGAACTTGGAACCCTCAGCACATTTTGAGAACTAAGTTCGATTGGGCAGGCGAAGACTCCCAGCATGCGGCATTGGCTGAAGGATGTTGAAAGGGAAAAATTGCATAATCCCCCATGCTTGTTTGGTTGGCAAAAGCATCTTCCTGCACATTTTCTTTAAAACAACCTAGTGAACGACGGGTTAGGAGATTAAGTCCCACGATTTGTTGCCCTTGAGCCAATTAAGAACCATCTAATCTAGGCTTTCAGACCACCAATTTCTTCTACGAAGCATTTTTGATTGGAGCAGAATCTAATCATAATATCTAAGAATGGCGGATTATACTCCAATGTTTAACGGGTCATGGGGGATTTCCATGGATTTCCCACAACCGAGTCACTGCAGGAGTAAGTGATGATTGCGCCTGAAGTTTCTGTGATGCCGGACTGGCATTTCCATCATTCCATGAGCTGAGCGGTGTCACCAGCTTTGCATATCCAACTCTCAGATTTTACATGAACTAATCATTAACATCCTTTTCACCATCCTCGAAACTGCTGAAATTTCTGGCTCAGGGTTTTCCGATCACCCCGCCTCCTTTTCGGCATCAGCCATGGCCGGCATTGGCATAACCTGCCAGAGTCCATTGAAGCCCGGTCACTTCATGGTGGAGTGCGACCCAACTCCCAACCCAGCACCAAGCCAATCCTGCGAAGGGTCACAGCATGGTGGCGGGAAGGGTTCTTGCAAGCCTGAGGACTTCTGTTTTTGGGGATGGTGATGTTGGTGATGCTGGGGATGTGGGGGTGGGTCGAAATGGATGGCGGCACGAGCCCACATGGATAAAATGCCCAAGGGAATTTTCTCCCAAAGCACTGGATGTATCGAGCTTATGATGGTACAAGAAGTGTCAAACTGCGTTTGCTAGACAACATCTTCAACCTTCCACCGGCCATCCATTCCCCGCCGCCTCATAATGTGGGAAGTGAATCCCCTTTTTGGTGTTTGGACTGTGTCCCCGGTTGGGTTTGAGGTTGGAATTCTCTTGTACAAATCAGCGGATGAGGTGGGGCCCCAACAGATTGTGACTTGTGCAAAGGACAAAGTGGATGAAGACCCAATGCCAATCTTCGAATGGATTGTGGACAAAAAGGACCTGGGTGACCTGGAATGCGGTCAATGGGTCATCATGGCACCACATATTTGTCAAGTTCAGGCGGTGCCTTGAAGGGTGTTGCAGTTGGACAAGTTGTAGATTCAATCTGTCTTCCCCAACCTTTCCCAACTGGCTCAAGACTACCGGTGTAGGAGCCCCCGAAAGCAATAACATGTTGGAACCATGCCTAATTGACAAATTAATGGAGCGTTGCTTGTCAAGTTTTGAGGACTCCCATCCCTGCCACATAGCATGCTGGCCACAAAAAGGTCATAATTTGTTACTTCGATTTTTGACAGTTGTAAGTTATTAAGTCTTGAGTGTAGCCCGAGTAAGTCGAAGCTTTGCAGTTGGCATCAGCTGGGTTTGTTTGCAGATTCCAGTGGTCCCAGTCTGAGTTGTATTTTTGCCACCTGAAAACCAAATACAGTATATAAAGATGTTAATTTTTGACCTTCTATTTGACATGATCATGCATTGGGGGAGTGTAGAGACCGCAATTCGAATGTTCATCATGTAGCCGTGAGGAAGTTACTGGTAATGCACCCGCCCATGGAGACCGGAAAATAACTTATGACACGGACACAGATATTGCGGTAAGCCCAATAATAAAGTTTTATACCCAATCGTGGATGATTGATACTATTCATTTCTGCTCAAATTAGGCTTGTGTGTTTATCATTCGGTCTACCACATTTAAGTAGCCTCAAGCTGGCAGGTACTCGTACACTTTGATTCAGAGTGCAGCATCATGGTTGACAATTCTCTGTATATCCCCTCAGCATCGATTACCTCTCCCCTAACATTATCCATAAAACCGTCACATAGGTCAGGGATTCAGGCTAGTTACATCATGTTACATCCATATGTTCGAAATCAGCAAGATCTTGGGTCCCTTTAAGTCCCACTAAGTGTATCATATTATATCATATTACATCATATTACAGTACATCATATGATGCTACATCATTTAGTCATCTTACCATATTTCACGGCCAATTTTTGGGCACCTGTCTTGAGATCCTCCTTCCTGGGTCAGTTTTCAGGAGCACTTCATCCCAGAGAAAGGTAGCAGCTGTCGACGCTCCTACTACGACTGGAGGATGCCCACCGAGGAGAACCCTTTGCAGCAACCCAATCGCTTGTTGCACGAGCAGCCCGGACGGGGACGTTGCAGCCGGGAGGAGAGTTGTTTTTTGGCGAGGATGGACAAATATGGACGATGTTCGTTTGGCAGATTGAATTGGAGAATGTACCGATTCACTGGTGTGACCTCGAATGAATGGAGGGTATATTCCAACTTGAGCCATAATTGGGAGTATCTGATATCTTTAGTAAATACCTGGAAGGAATAGAAAGTAAAGATTTAGCTCCTAGGTTTTGGGTTAAACATGGACCAAGATAAGATCTTAGATAAGTCAACGATTGGATAGCAGCTCTATGCCAGCTTCCTGTGTCACTTCTCCAAATTTATCCAAATTCTCCCCCTGCTATTGGGAAGATCATCCATTTTTTCGTATATCTTGAAAGGGCTGTAACTTGGGGCTACTTAAGCACCACTAGCTCAACAGTCGACCAGACCCTGGCCGACCAATGGCCCGATGATTTGTCCAGCTCCAAGAATGATGAGACAAAAAGAAGTCATCGGCGATCGCTAAAACAAGCAATTGCCAAGACCCTTGCCAAAGAAATCGCCAACTTTGGGCGTCGAAATTCCGCTTTGAAATTTGCCAAGGTACAAGGCGAAGAAAATGCGAACTTACTTGAAGGCTGGGTGAAATGCTGAAATGATGGCTGTTGAAAAGGAAGCCGGGGTCAACAGATTAAGTTTTGCCACAGATGGGGAATATCAGAGTATTCCAACCCTGTGCCACTACATTTGGCTGGTGGTTTCAACCATGGTTTCAACCATGTTTCAACTACCAGGCAGCTACATCAACCATGAATGGGTCCCCCCGAAATCCGATTGTTTAAAATCTCCTTTCCCCTATGAAACATGGCCAGAGAGGCTTGTTCTGGGGTGTATTCACCCCTTTGGTGACCACTGGCCATCATAGATATGTTGAACTTTCAATATATATATATATGATAATGTACACAATTATGATATTGTATTATATATATATGCCCATATGTTTGGATGGAGGGATGAAGATCTTTAACAAGCCTAACACCCAACTATTTTGAGGTGAACAGCAGGGTAGTTTGCTTTTGACCCTTTTCATCGTCAAAGATGATCTGCAAAAGGTCAAGTTGCCCCATCCAACAGGTCTCGACTGGTAGGATAAAAGTTGCGCTTGTTGAGCTTCCGACAGTGAACATGTTTGGTTTCTTTTTCTGCCCCTTTCCCCTAGAATCGTAGCGTGGAGCTTTGTCGTACCCCGGTCGCATTCTCCAAGAGCTTTAAAATCTTATAGATTCAAAAGAGGGTGAAAATTGACCGTCCCACACCTGCCACACAAAACGGACTTGGAAATGTGATCCCCAGCTGACCGAGATGGATGTTTTGTAAAGCTTTCAAGAAGCATACACTTTTCCATCTTTGTTCCTCTTGATGTCCTATTCCTTTTGCTTCTCCCAAGAAACCAGGCCAGTGACAATGTGACTGACCCTGGCCCTTTGCTAGGAGATTGTGAAGGACCCGCGCAGATTTAAGGTTCTGATTGAAAAACGCCGGTGCTCGTGCCAGTCCAAGAAGTGACGAGTGATGCGATCCGACTGAAGTCAAGATTCATGCTTGGTGATTGGAGGAGATCCATGGATATCCCAACATATCTATGGAATTGTCCCTTTCGCTAAATGCAGGTGTGTCAGTATGCGCTTAGAACGTCTTAGAACGTAGCTCTTCATGAGGAACGGGTCGCATTCCAGCAATTCACCCTAAGTGGCCCAGACACTAGCCATCAAGAAAAGGGGTGAGACCCCAGTTACTGTCCATCCAAGAAAGGGGGTGATAATCCAAGTACAGGTCATCATCCAAGACTTCAGTCGGATCTCCAGCTGGATGTGCATCCCACAGTGGGTTCAAAATCCAACTTCCACCACCCAGCATCTCTAGTGTCTTCGACATGGGATGGAGACAGCTTGGGAGGTCCTGGGCCATGAAGTGCAATGGCACCGTGCAGAAAGGAGGACTGAGCGGGGCATCAGCGTTGAGCTACCAGATGTGCCACTGTGAAAAGTCGGCATAGAGCTGGGATGCTCAATCCTGGGTCCGCAGGTCGAGAGATGGAAAAACTACCGAGTTTCATCTCCGATAGGTTGACATAGGTTGACCGCGACCGCCTTTTTGATGGGTCCTTTTTGAATCAGGTGATGAATTCACGAGCAGCACTTATTTTAGTATGTGAACTCAAGGGTTGGTTCTGACCCATAAATCTAAGCGGTTTAGTGTGGATCTTTTTGCACGTGTTTATGGAATTTTGATGCAATGCATTGCATCCCAAGACCCAACCGCCCAACCGCACATAGCGGTGCATTTTCGCGGAAATGTTTGTCGTTCTTCAGGGTAGCCAATGTACACACCTTCTTACCAGTTTTGTTGCCACTTTGGCTGTTTTCAGGTATGGAAAAAGGAAGCGCCATTGGCAACCTCTGAAGCCGATTTTTAGCATACCACATGGTGGTGCATTTTTCAATCTTGCAAAGGTCAGGCTTGGGCACTAGTAGTTTGGGGCGATTGATTTCTATGGCTGGTTCATTTTTGTTTTATCGAGTTTTCCCAGTTTTATATATTTTCTGTGGAATGCTGAAGGCCCCTTTGTGTTGACTATACCAACTATACCGACTATAGCTGTTGGTTCTGCAGAGTTCAGTACAGGGATGCCACATTCGAAGGATGGTAGCACCTGTAGGGATGTATCTAAGTGAAATATCTGGATATATCTGGACAATATACAACGACCTCACGTCGCGACATCACTGGAATGAAGGTTAGTAAGGGTGACTATCCCCAAATGGCCTTATTTCAGATTATATCGTAACATTTTTAAATTCATATAATATCATATAATTCATATACAGAAATATTTAATCTAAACAATATCTATAATTCATTGAGCAATGAAAATTCCAGCATACAGAGTTCTGGTCGAATCAGTGCCGACAAACCAATGTGTCCAATTTCCTGACAAGTGACCAACCGCAGGAGACCGCAGGAGTCGTAGACATTTTGCGCCGAAGGCGTTGGAATGTTGACTTAACACTGCTGACTTCGCTGGTATGAGAGCAAGGTCATACTTGTAGAGTAGCAACGACATTGTAACCTATCTATATATGGACTATCCCCAGTTACATATGGGTTACTTTAACCTGGTATTCTGTGTCTTAAACCCCCCAAGAGAATACTAATTCTGGGTCTTGCATACAATCAGATCATTAGATTTTAAGATAACCCAACCGTCTAGACCGGCTCTCCATGTCAAGCTCACCCAACAAGATTACTCCGACGTTGAACAGTCGCCATTCGACGTCCTACAGACGTGACTGATGACAGACGCATCCGGTTATTTTGCAGAGGAGCAAGGTCCGAATCCAAAGCTTGGGTTTGTTTGGAAACGAGCAAGAATTCAGAAGTCGAGAGAAACAAGATGGGCATGGGATTGCGTGGCTCAACAATTTGCTTGAAGCCCTTGGATCTATTGACTGGCAATCTTAGACAGTAGTCCATCCCGTTTTTGGAGTTTGCATGGTGCATAACCCAATCATACCCAATCTAACTGTAGATTTGTCCACCATGAATCCTAGCTATTGCAGTTACAAATTCTGACTTAGGAGTACAGTAGCAGTGGCCTATCATTGTACTCTTACCATCAAGTACTTCATGTGGGTCATGACCCAGGTATACCCAGGTACTAACCAGGCTTTGTTAGCTTATATACTATTTACATACTATTTACTATTTATCATCAATTCTCCCCTCCCATCTTTGTGCGTCAAAGCAAAAATTTGCTCATTGACCACTTGCTTAGTGGGACACTTCACCCAAGGTTTTGGATGTCAACTCAACGAATTATCTCTACCCTTTGTCATCCTATTTGGTCAAAACATGTCAATTCTAAGCTCTCCACTTTTTAAACCGTGGCTATCCCGTGTTATCCCTACTTATAATATTTATGTATATATATACATAAATATACATGCACATAATATATATATATATTATATTATATATACACATAATTGGAGCTTTGGTAAAGCGTTACTTTAGGGCACAGGGTGGACATGTCAGTTGATTCTGTAGGAATCCAGGCTCAGGCCACTAGCTTTTGGAGTGGGCTTAGGCACTGCCATGTTTCGAGTTTTTCGATGTTTGGTGTGCATGCTCAGTTTGAGGGCTGTACCTGGCTGGTGGGATCAGAAGCAGCCGCCAACGGAGGAATATCCATCTTGGCGGTCTGACCCCAAAGGTTTCGCATGGTGGGTGTACAACGAGACTATCCATGGAAACCATACTTTTGATGAGTTTTTCACATGGACACCAACCAGCTGGGATGGATGGATTTGGACCTTTTTTGACATGATCTTTAGCACAGTGGGCTGGTTGATCTTCGGTCGCAATTGGACGCAAGTTCGAAGTAGCTTTTCGTTCCTGCTGCGCCTGGGAACCTTACTACTGGTCTGCATATCGGTCCACTATCTCCTGGCTTTGTGTTGGCCCATTGTATCGCTACTGGTCGGGTGCCTGCTCACCTTGGTTTGGCTGATCCGGAACGTGGTTCGATGCTGTGGAAGGACAGCGTTCTACTACCAACGTTGGAGCGGAGGAGTTCCAGAGGCGTTGGGGGCTTCCTTTTTTGGACCTGAGCTTGGTGATCCTCCTGAAACAGGAGACCTACGCAAACTGAAGAAGGGTTCAGATGGTGAGAAGTGGGTTTTGATGCGTCGGCACGGATTGACTGCCATTTTCCGGGTACAAGACTCCAGCAGCATCAAGTCATCGGGAGTTTACTTGACCATCGAACCTGGCTCTATGCGCGGAGATCAGGAGCTCACGCAGTCCTTGCAGGGACATGACAGGGTTCAGTTGTGCAGACATGAAAGCTGTAGTGAAGACGGGCCGCATTTCAAGCAGTATGCCACGGTGAAGGCTTTTAACCCAGAGACCTTCCAGCTGAATGCAGCTTCTACACATCAGGCGGGAAGTCAGTTTTTCGGCTGGGTTCGACGTGGTGCATCCAAGGCCGCGCAGAAGGCTAAGGATTTGGCATCTGAGTCAGAACCTGAAGTTTGTAAATGCCACGCTCATCAAATTCGATGGGAGGGCGACCAGGGACATCAGGTACTGAGCGAAGGGATTTGTAAAGAGGTAGGAGTAGATGTACGTCTACTGGACGAGGATGTGCCAGGTAGTTTAGGTACTGTCACCCTGTGCCCCAAACATGTCTCCAAGTATCTGACTAGCAGGTTCCAACTTAAGTGTGCCATGGCTGAATGTTTCAGGGTCGGCTGTGGAACTTCGGGTGGACTCCGTCTATGCGCAGCACATGAGGAATCGTCCAGGATGTCATCACGGAGACCATCAACCTCCAGATCAAGATCCAGGCCCCGAGAACGAGTCGAAGGAGATCCTGAAGAAGTTGAACGTGATGGAGGAGTACGACGTCGAGTACGCCATGCACGACCAGATGAAGAACATGCAGCAGAGAAGGCGGAGCAGCTGATGGAGGATGTCCGTTCAGCAGCTGAACCACCAACCAGTGGAAGAGCGAGGAGACGACATGGAGAGGAAATGTCACCGGGTCGGACTCCGAAGTCAGCAGTCCAACGGAGTCTTGCAAAGTTGGGCATGGTGGACTCTCCGGACAGGAGAGAGATGATCACGACTTTGGAGGAGTTCATGGCTCAGTTTGTGGATGGCAAGGATTTGGGCCTTGACGAGGAGGACATCAGACAGCAGATGGCGGCCACCAGCGGCATGACTTTGTATGACTTCACCCAGGTGCTCTACGACCAGGCGGTGGAGGAGCAGCGGAAGGGCACAAAGGGCCTCACCAAGTTCTTGGCGAAGTGGCGCAAACAATTGGCAGCTGGCAAGATGCCACCGGTTGCACCAACTCCCCCAGGAAGTTGGAGCTTGGTGAGCAGCCCTGATGAGGCCAAGCCGAAGGGCGTGAGAGAAGAGATGAGGAGTGAAGGTGGCACCCCAAGCGCGGTTTCTCCTGGTCTAGTGACCTTGGCCCCACCTGGAATTTACAATGCTGATGACCGTAAGGCGGGCACAGGAGGTGTGGCGGATAGCTCAATGACTGACATTGCCAAGGCGATCCAATATCAGACGGCAGAGCTGGCCAGTTTGGTGAAGAGTCACAATGAGGCGAACCCCACAGGGAACAATGGCTCCATCAAATCCTTGAACAAAGCTTCGGAAGAGCTGGTTTTCCTCCTACGTGCATGTGGCCAGTACACTGTGGAGGTCGGGGAGAACGAGTACGGGGCCAACCTGGCCAATGCTCTGTTGGCGGCGCAGGCGGGAGCATCCACCAAGCTGCGCAATGCTGGCTTCAGACAGAAGGTGACGAGCCGTCTTGCAGTTGGTCTGGCCGGGCCGTTTTGGGGGACTCAGGAGAAGTATGCGCTTTCTGCTGCTGATTTCCTGCCATGTACTGATGCAGAACTTGACCAACATGCGGTCGAATCCCGAACTGGGAAACAACAGAACGAGCAGCGCCCCCCTGGGCCCACCCGTTATGAGGATTGGGCCAACCGGGTGAAGAGACAGACCGATGTTTGGTGTCTGGTCTACGGTAAGGAGTGGCGAGCTGTTCGGGAGCACGCGGCGCAAGTCCTTGGTGAGTGGCATCTTGGAGCTCCACATCGCTGGCCATTGCAGGTGCTATGTGAGGTATGGGAAGAGCTTCATTGGCGCTTTGTGGAGGAGCTCAAGACGGAGTTGCGCAAAATCAAGGGACTCAGCGGACGGGAGTCTATGACACTTGCGGACTTGAAGTTCTATGCCCTCATGCCGGACGAACGAGGTGCCCCACCATTGCAGTTGCCCCGGACTTTTGATCTACATCACCCAGATGGATGGTTTGTGTCGGAAGTTTTGCCCCGTATTGAGAGGAGACAGGAACGCATGTTGTGGAAGCTGACTTGGGAAGGAGCTGCAAAGGGCAGGGGCCCTAGTCAACCAGCGGGAGGAGACGGGAAGCCGGACGACAAGGTGACCTTGAGAACTCTATTGGGCCCCAAGCTCACCGTGGAGGAGTCCAACAGGGCACGAGATCGCGCACCTACAACGAAGGATGGCAAGTTGCTTTGTTGGGGATATTTATCCCACCTTGGTTGCACTCAAGCAGGTTGTCAACGAGCACATGAAAACCTCAAAGGAGCTTTTGAGTCCCTTGACCCTATGGTGCAGATGCAGCTGTTGCGAAGAGGTGGTTTGAAGCGCATGCGGCAGGAGACCAAGGAGACAGCCATTGAGAAGATTGGCCAGTTGAGGGCGCAGGTTGCGAAGGACAAGAAGGACAAGATCAAGGATGGGCAACCAAAGCGCAAGGCTGGGCAGGAGGACGCAGGTCAGCCGGCCGAGAGCCAAGAAGGTTCATGTGAGAAGAGAGCCGGAGGAGTCACTTGGAAGCCTCCCGCAGAAATGGTGGAGATCGACTACACCGCGCAGGAGAAAGAGCTCGCAGAGATGCTGAAGGGACCCAAGCAGGAAGCATTCAAGAATCAGTATATGGAGGGCGTCACCCACGCAGGACGAGGAGGAGAAACAGCCCCAGGGGCAGCTCAAGAGCTGTTGCGGAAGGCACAAGCACTGTCAGATGGGCCGGTGCTGGGAAGATTGCAAGGTGCGTCGGATGACCTTTATGCATGGGCGGCCACCAGAGTTGCAAGCGAGCCGTCGGTGACGTTGACAGAGCTCTTGGAGGATATGGTGCAGTACGGTCTGGGGGAGCTTGCGGCTGAGGCGGCAGAGATCCTTGAGAATGCGTCAGAAGCCAAGGCAGGCAGTGCAAAGAGGTGTGTGGTGCATGACACATTTTGGACTGATGCTGGACCTGGAAGAGCTCAAGTGGACATTGACGGTCGTGCTTGGGCAATGTATGACTACAAGGAAGAAGTAGCCATGACTGAAGAGTTGGCGGGTCTGTTGGGAGTGGTGTCGCCCGAAGTTGAGAAGCGTCAGTGCGTTACCAAGGTATTGGCAGCAGGATATCTGGCGAACGAGGCCGCACCCGGACAGTTACCTACCATGGAGGACGTGGAGACCCAGGCGCAAGCTTTTCGCCTAGAGCAAGCCAGACTGGCGACGGAGGCCGAGGGTGTCATGGGTCATGCAGAGCAAAGAGTGGCGGCAATTGAGCATGAGCTGCGGATGTACACCCACGACATTCTGAAGCCACACCATGACAAGGACTACAGAGCCCTGGCTGTCTTTCCGTTGGAAGTCTTGGAGGAGTACAGAGTCATTGTGCTACGTACGGACTACAAAGGGGACTATGTGCCGGAGATCGTCCAAGGAACTCATTGGAAGGCTGGGCAGAAGGACATTTGGGCTTTGATCTACAAGGGCCATATGATGCTACTGGTTCCTCCTGGCGAGGCTGAAGCTATGGCAATCCTCAAGGAGTTTGACATCCACACGACGCCCACGCTTGGTTTCCGTTATTTTTGGCATCAACGACATGACCAGCCACGCACTGCGCCTGGACAGCTGATGTGCAGGCATTGCAAGCCACCGAAACGGGCTGGCACTGCGGAAGGCATCCCAATGATCCGAAAACAGTCTTGTTTGGCAGCAGCAGCACTATGTCTGGCAGGTGGACACCAAGAACAGTATCATGTGCGTCCTGCAGCAGCTCCTCATGGACCAACCGGCTTGGTATTGCGGGAGTACTTTGCGGGGCATGGTGTCATCACTCAAGGATGGAGAAGGGCAGGGGAGATTGCGTTGGAGCCGGTGGAGCTCTATGAGGATCCTCATCGTCGACAAGGTCCCCGACCCGATCATGATCTTGCAAATCCTACAGTGCAGCAGCGGTTCTACCAGGAGGTTGAGGAGGACAAGATCAACGTGGAATGGCTGGCGTGTCCGTGCACGACGTTTTGTGATTGGAACTTGCAGAACAATGGCACCAGGACGTTTCAGAACCCGCAGGGCAAACCCAATGCCAAGGAGGAGTTGGGCAACACGTTGGCCGAGTTCGAGGCAGCTTTATTTGAGAAAGCGTTGGACAGGGGCCATTTTCCTATTGCGGAGAGTTCTGGGCGGTCAGGTAGATACCCCAAGATGTGGCACCTTCCTTGTTGGCAGAAGCTTCTACAGCGACCGGATGTGGATTTTCTGGAGGTGGACATGTGTGCCTATGGGTTGGCCCCGCTGGACGCCACGGATGAAACTCAGTTTTATCGCCATCGAACCGGCCTAGCTTTCCCTCGACACCCAGCTTTCAGGGCAGCATTATTCCGATTGTGCCCGGGGCTTTCTGATAATCACCATCATGTTCCCCTCCAAGGCTGCCGGCAGAACTCTTCGGTGACCAGATGCACAGAAGCTGGGGTCTATGCGGAGCAGTTCGTGGAGACGGTGGTGGAGGCCCTCCGTGCAGTGGTTGTGGGGGGGGGGGTAGGCTTCAGCCACAGAGACAAGCAGGAGGGCAAGTTCAGAGTGTCAAAGGACTGGGTGCAGGAGTGGGACCAAATCAATTTGATGGAGACAATCCCAGCAGTTCCGACGAGGAGGGCAATGGTGATGGAGAACCGCCGGACGACCCTTCTGACCGAGGTTCAGAGCAACAGGAGGCCTATGAGGGTGGTGAAAGCGAGGAGCCGGTACGGGACGAAAGCACGACACCGACCAGTGTGGCAGATTCACCAGCATCAGGTACTGAGGCAGAGGTCGAGAGTACAACCCGATCGGAAGAGGAGGGTACACTACATGCAGGTCATGGAGAAGCAGAACACGCTGATCATGGAGGAGCTGACCGTTCAGATGGTTCAGAACACGCTGATCATGGAGGAGCTGACCGTTCAGATGGTTCAGAACACGCTGATCATGGAGGAGTTGACCGTTCGGATGGTTCAGAACACGCTGATCATGGAGGAGCTGATCGTTCGGATGGTTCACCACGGCTACCTGCAGGTCACGGAGAAGCAGAACAAGCTGGTCATGGAGGAGCTGATCTCTCGGATGGTTCACCACGGTCAGAGGATGAAGATACGCTACGTGCTGATCATGGAGAGGCAGATCTGGCGGTGAACAGGCCTGGAGGAGATGAGATGTTCTACAACGACGTGACGGGATTGTTGTGGATTTGGCACCGGGCGCCGCGGAGAAGGTTTGTGGTCCCTGGAGGGGAAGGTTGTCCCTTCCCTGTTGAGTACTTCAAGGTCAACCGTTGGACGAGGTGCGAGAATGTCGATGAGGAGAACCCGTTGGATGTGGTGGAGATTGAGGACAATTGGACCACGCAAGGAGCATGTGAGGGTCCGTTCCAGCACTGGACGGGATGGACGGTCTTTCAAGTTCAAGGGTACCGGAAACCCACTGTTTTTCCGTGGGATGCCAGTGAGGCAGGGAGTGAAGGCCCCCAGGAGGAACAGGATCAAGTGAGCAATCATGAGGAGACACCTACAGAGGAAGAAGGAACCACAGGAGCCAGAAGTTCCGGAGATGGAGGTTCAGGACGTAGAAGCGGAGGAGATAGCGATGCGTCACAAGGAGCCACTTGGAAGTCGTTCACTGAGGAAGGCATTGGAGAAGCAGTCCGAACAGCCGCATTCACCTACGTGGAGGTCATCGACAAGATTGAAGATCAGGAGGCAGCTACGTGGAGAAAGGTGAAGGAGGCAGGAGATGAGCTTTTACGAGCAGCTGGGACAGTGGAGCGAGCAGCAGTGGCGTTGTGGATTGTGCGAGAAAAGCTGGGGAGGAACAATCTCCAAGGGGTGAATGACCCAGATCTGGACGGGCTTCTACACCCAGACCATTTGGCCTACCTCAGGGAGATCAGAGCAAAAGGCATGCCAGCGAGGTATGAAGGAGAGAGGAGACGAGTTCGAGCTCAACCTCACCCGAGGGCCCGAGAGAACCTGGGACAAGTGTATCGGCAGCTCATGAAGGATGTGGCCAAGCACCGTGTACTGGTGGTAAGTGCTGAACGCCCTGAATTGCAGCATACTGCATCGTCACCGTTTGAGGCAGTGCCGAAGATGCTCCCGAACCGCACGCTGTCTGCAGAAGTGCGTTTGGTCCACGACCAACGCAACATCAACAGCGGCACCGACAAGGAACTACATCCCCCGGCCACGCAGCCCTTGCACGTGCAGGTGATTCGACGCATCCTTTTTTGGAAGACAGTTTTCCCGAAGGTGCCGATCCTGATGGCCAAGAAGGATGTTGCGGGGGCCTTTCGTCTCCTGTGGGTGGACCTGAAGGATGCAGAACTCTTTGCAGGTGACGTGCCGTGGACACCCAGCTTGATGGGCTCTGGAGAAGACAAGGTGCAAGAGGGCGACCCAAGCAGTTTGACGCTGATTTTCCTGGTGAGCAGTTTTGGGTTTTCCGGGTCACCAGGTGAGTGGACGGCCTGGGGAAGAGGAACTGAGGAGGTCGAGGTTTCAAGCCATGCAAACCGAGGAGGGATGCCAGCTTCAACTTCGATGGCAAGATCCTTGTGGATGACATGGTCCTTGTCGAGCCGCAGGTGGGTTTGAGGCCCTGGGTATCCAGTGAGGTTTACGAGTGGGCAGTGGTCAAGTTGCTCGGGCGCAATGCAATCAATGCAGCGAAGGACGCCGAAGAGGGTGTGTTCTCAGAGGCACAGACGGTGTGGGGCGTCACCATCAACACGGCCACGGAGAAGATGTCGTTGCCGGAGGCGCGCGTGCTGAAGGGGGCGCACCTCTTGGCGGAACCACAGTTCAACTTTGGAGAGCGGTCTGTGACGCTTCGAGACTTGCAGCGCCTGCGAGGCATTGCCACGGGTTGGAGTACCATTGTGAAGGGCCTCAAGAACGAGCTGAAGGCGATCGACCGTTTCCTTGGAGGTGTGGATGGAGGTGCAGTTGCGGGGCCTTCAGGATGCCAGAGCGACGAGGAGGCGGAGACAGCATGGCTGGACCTTTGGGCAGTTTTTGAAGATTGCCGGTGGCTATGCTCGAGGTCGGAAACTTGGTCGGAGAAGTTCGGAGGAGACATCCGGGAAGCGCTCAGCCCCATGGAACGTCTGGCGCTGCCGGGTGGGAATTTCTCGTCAGCCGTGTTTGTATCGTCTGATGCAACTCCGACGGTGCTGGGTGCCATCGACTGGACGCATGGGTTGGCTTGCAGGGAGGATGTGAAGGAGTTGAAACCTTGGATCAAACAAGTGCTTGAGGAGGATGGTGGTGACGCGGAGGGACCTCTTGCTATCCATTTGGGGGAAATGTTGTCCTTCGTGGCCTTTGCTTGCAAGGTGGGAAGCGCATGGTCCGGCAAGGTGGTGTTGTATGCGGGCGACAACCGAACGGTTTATCACTGGGTGACTTCGAGGCGGAGCAAGGTGAGGGCCGGCCGGCTGTTGATTCGCGTGCTCAACCTGGTGGAGATGCGTTACCGATGCTTGATCTTGGGTGCGTGGTGGAGGACGTATCACAATGAGGATGCAGACGATTTGACGCGCATGACGGAGGTCGAGGCCATGGAGAAAATCAAGCAGAAAGGCTGGAACTATGTGGACCTGAAGCAGGCGATTGGTCAGGCGCTACAAGATTCCGAACGGTTTGGGCCTTGCTTCCTGTCATGGGGCGATGATGAAGATCGAATGGAACAGATGAAGCTGCGTGAGCTGAGGAAGTTCAGGGCTTTGCACAGGCAACCACAGAGGCTACAGGAGATCGACATTCAGGAATGGTGCCATCGACAACGCTTGATCAAGGATTTCGAGTATTATGAGGTGCAGGAGACCGTGAAGAAGAAGAAGGTGATTGCAACTACAGTTGGTCCGGACCCGAAAGGAAGGGTTGTCAAGAAGTTTTGGGACTACTTGCTTGCGGAGGAGTTCGACGTCGCGATCATGGAGGGCCCTCGAGATGTGGACTGGGAGCTCTACAAGGAGATGGCGAGGGCGAACGGACTTCAGGTGCAGGTAGTGGAATTCTTGACGGCCGAGCTGGGTGAGGTTTTGGTGAGAAGACGCCGAGCAGGCTTTGTATCGCGAACCAACGTCAGCATCGAGAAGGTGGAAGACTGGCTAGTCAAGGTGACGGCACCGTCATTGGGCACAGTCCTTGAAAGGGCCGGAGAAGCCAGTTGGAGACCATGGAGCAAGTGGGAGAAAGCGCACGGGCAGGGCGATCATCCCATGTTACCCAGAGTGGGTGCTCATGTGTGGTTCGAGGATGACGAGGAGCGTTACAACGTGTACAAGCTCAATGGACCCTGCCGGTGGCCGCTCTCCAAGGAGGCTGCAGGCGTTGAAGAGCTCTACGTTCTCGACCGAGCGGCCCCGGCAGGGATGGTGCGTGTGGTGCTGCCAGAGGAGATTTGGAGAGCACAGGGTAGGACCAAGAAAGAGTGGTTGAGTCTGACAGCCGTGATGAAGGAGAGTGAGGTCCTTAAGGAAGGCTGCTTGGGCACTGGAAGGAGGACTGCATTGGCACTGCTGGGCGTGGCAGCGGAGTTATGCACCATGGAGGAGCAGGAGGCCAAGGCAGGTATGTGCTATGACGGGGAGGACGTCAAATCCCTTGGACTGTTGTTGGCTTGGCTACGTCGATGGCGACGGGGAGATTTTGGACGTGCTTTCCCTGACCGGAAGGCTGGAGGTGCGATGGAAGAAGGGAGAAGAACTTTGTGGTTGTGGAGCGAGTCCTGGTGGTGCGAGGGCCTCGACGAGGATGAGGAGGTGTTTGAAGACCAGAAAGCTGGCGGCCGAAGCAAGTCAGCAGACAAACGGGGTACCCGCGTGGTGGAGGGTCACAGAGCAGTCCAGCTGCAACCCGGTCTGGTGGCCGACTTGGACGTGCAAGCGCAGGTCGAAGAGTGGTTGGAAGAGCACATGGACGGAGATAAGGCAGTGAGCACCAAGAAAGCCTACCAGTCGGCATGGGGCAAGTGGTGCGATTGGAGCAAAAGGCAGAAATGGCTGTCGCCGTATTTGCATCACAAAGATGACCCGGTCGAGAACGAGAACAAGATCTTGGGGTACTTGGGCTACTTGGGATGGCTTGGAACTTCAGTGGCGACGCTCAAGCAGGCGGTGTTTGCAATCAAGGATGCTCACAAGCGGGCAGGGCATGGAGATGCTACGGCCAAAATGCATCGGCTGTGGATTGTGATCAACTCGCTTGAGAGAAATGCAACAAGGCGACCCCGACGTCTGGGAGTTACGGTGCCGATGCTCAAGTGGATTGGACAGCAGTTTGAGACCGGAGCAGATGCAGGAGGAGAGCTGCGCATCAACTGCAGGGTGATGGTTGCGGCGCTGTTGGTGGCGTGGTTCTATATGCTACGAGCCCGGGAATACTGCGACAGCAGCGGTGTGGACCTGGAGATGGTGATGAGAGGGCAGGACGTACAGTTCTCGGTCAAGGGCGAGGCGGTCACGGAGAATGCGGAGGAGCTCACGGTGCAATTTCGCAAAACAAAGGCGGATCAGATGGCCTTTGGGACGTGCAAGACGCTGCTCAAGACTGGGGTCAGGTACGTTTGTGTGGTCACCGCGATGGAGGAGTTGCGGAAGGTGACACCGAGGAGGTTCGATGGTGGACCCGAATCGCACCTACCCTTGTTTCGGTGGGCATCAGGACAAGTCCTGAAAAGGGTGGAGGTGCAGGCCATTTTGCAGAGAGCGGCAAAGGAGGTTGGTCTTCCAGCTGAACGCTTCCAGAGCCACTTGCTGAGGATTGGTGGAGCCTCGGCGTTATACCAGGCGACAGGAGAAATTGAGGTCGTGAAAAGAGCAGGAAGGTGGACGAGCGGGGCCGTCCATCGCTACCTCTATGACGACGGCGATGTTCTCAAGGGCTTGGCGAAGCAGATGGCGGAGATCGATCAGTACGTGCACTACACGTAAACCATGGATGGTATGAACCTTGGGGGGGTGAGGCAGATGCCATGCCAGTCAGCACAGAGAGACTGGTGTGGGAACCTCCAACTCAGTGCTGTGCAGCAGCAAAACGTTGATGTCTCTGCGAGAACCGTGACAGGGACAGCTAGGGCACTTAAGTTGGAGCTTTGGTAAAGCGTTACTTTAGGGCACAGGGTGGACATGTCAGTTGATTCTGTAGGAATCCAGGCTCAGGCCACTAGCTTTTGGAGCCCACCCTCCAACCCGGGGGGTGAGGCAGATGCCATGCCAGTCAGCACAGAGAGACTGGTGTGGGAACCTCCAACTCAGTGCTGTGCAGCAGCGAAACGTTGATGTCTCTGCGAGAACCGTGACAGGGACAGCTAGGGCACTTAAGTATATATATATATACACTGTATATATATATATATACTGTATATATATATATGTATATACGATATATATGGTGCCGCCCAAAGATCTACCTTTTTAAATGCCATCACCTTTATCCACATTGGCGATAACGCTTGCATTTGATATGTCTATGATTCTATCCAGGCATCTATTATGTAACATGATAACCTGATCTACCCTCTGGTAAACAAACATAGCTATGGAAAATCACCATTTTTGATGGGTAAATCCACTATAAATGGCAATTTTCAACAGCAAACCGTTAGTTTACCAGAGGGCAACCGTGCTTATGTCATCACATTTTCACAACTTTGGCGTTTTTCCCAGGTTTTCCCACCCAACCAGGCCCTACTTGGAATCCTCCAACCACTACCTGAACGCTTTCGTCCTGCGCTGCCGCGACGCCATGGCCAGCGATCCCAATGGCGACACCGCGCACGACGCCTTGGATCATTTGGCCTTGGAATTGGCCAGCGACTGGGAAGAAAATTGCTGGGACACTCCCATTTTCCGACACATTATATACTGTATATGTATATATAATACATACACATACAATACACATACATATATATATATACATACATACATACATATACATATACATATACATATAAATATACATATACATATACATATATATATGTTATATATATATAAATACATAGTATGAACCAAACAACCAAAAAACCGGGATCTTACTCAACCACATCTGTAATTTTTCAAGCAGGCAAAGATTAGCATATGGGGTTTGCGTCAAGACCTGTGGGTGTGTCCGGATAGACCATGCGATGGGATAGGGGTTATCCTGTTTGCAGACCCATATGATGTATGTTTTTTTTTTTTTAATTTGTTGACATTTATACGCAGCAAATTTGACATGAATTGTTTGTGCATATACATATATATATATAGAGAGTACAGTACAAAACAGCATTTATTCCGGATGGCAGTTTTGGCGGTTTCAATGATGTGTTACTCTGCGATTCGTTGGGATGACTAAGAATGATGAGGATGCAACTACATACCAGAATTGGGGGTAGCAGGCGAAGCACAGATGTGGCTGGTTTGGCCTACCATGGTGAGAAACATTACTATCCGGCAATTTCATATACATAGCCATGGAACATCACCATCTTCAATACCTGTAGGTAAATCATATGACTAAATGAAACATTTTCGCTGCAAACCCTAGGTTTGCCCGCGGCGAATCCCGCATTTCCTTTGACATGCTCAAATCCCTGCGTAGGGTTTAAGTTTTTACTTTCCAACACAACAAACCCTAAAATGCTAAAACCCTAAAGCCTAAATTAACACCCTAAATCCTGAAAACTTAAAGTCAAAATCACTGCGTATAGCCAGTGTTTTCATTCGTTTGGATGTGCTGTTTGAGTGTGGGCGAACCCGGGGTTTGGAGGGAACATTTTCCATAGTTTTTTTGAATTGCAGGAGGGCAGGATATTTCAAGACAACGTGCCTATGTGTTCTGCCAGCCCCACATCTCAAAAATCAACCGGGCCTAGGTGAAGAAAGAATGGCCTATGGCGCCTTCGCACGATTTGACAAAAACCGAAACCACTATTTGCAGGGCATTGAGATCGATCCTTGGCAGGGGCTTGGATCATCTGGATCCATGTCTGTTGACGGCACATGCAGTTGGGATGCTGCAAATCCTCAGGATTTCTCCCCTCCAAAGTCATTGGATCCTTTGAGGTTCGTTCACATGCAGCATGTTCAGATCTGCCCAACACCTCAACGGCCCTTTTTTGAAGGGTATGTTCCACACCATGTTCAATCATGCTTCAAGGGTATCAGCTAAGGTGCATGCTTTATCATTTTTTCATAGATTGCCCAACATCCCAAGGAGTACATGCTGGACTACTTGGGCTTTCCTCACCAGCAGGAAGACGTGACTCGCTTTGTGTCAGCCGTCGACAAGTTGGAAACGGATGGAAAGATTTCGCCCGAGGAGTTCTTGAAGGTCGTTGGCAGCTTGGGCAGCATCCAGTGAATAGGTGGATAGGTAGTGGATAGGATCAAACTGGGTAAATGGTCAGTGGTTTCAATGTTTCAATTTGTAGCCAGGGTAGAATATGTAGAATTGGAGATTTCCACCAACAACTTTCTAATACCCTGGCAGGATATTTGAACTCCGCCATGTTGATCTGGCAGTGTTTGCCGCCTTGGTTGGGATAGATGAGCCGCACATGGTCATGGGTCCATAACAGCACACGGAAAACACCCGAAATCTGTCAAAGAGTCAAAGATCGCCACTTTGGATGTCAAAAGGCGTTCAACGGCACTTTATGAGAAACGCCCAAAAAATTACTTGGTTGGTTTTAATATGTTTTAATCACCATTTTTCAGCCAGATTTCCAATTTTTTCCCGTCGCTGGGACCAATGGGTTAAGACCTGGAACCCTATCATCAACCACCTTTTTTGCGCATTCTCCTCTAGGCATGTCTGAAACTTGGGGCAGAGTTTGCCTAAAGATGCAACAAATAAATGGGGAAACGATGGGGAAAATCATGATTAATAGATTAATCCGATTCACCATTGAATTTTGGGGTTCCCTATTCTCAGACACACCCAACATCAGTGCTTTCACTGCCCAGGTGATTTGGGTGGCTGTTGTAAGCTCTTCGACATGCGTCCATGACCCAAGTTGCGGACGGGTGAAGCACCGCTAGGTATGTGAAAGATTCACAAAGCAGACCTCTATGTATATATACACACATACAGGTATATAGATGCTATAGTTAACGTACAGACACAGGCTAACCATGACAAAGCCATGTACATATATCACACTACATCTACATATTCGCCAGGGCGGCAGCAGATCAAAGCGCGGGGGACGGAGTTAGAGGCGCGCAGCTTCCTTCGTTGAACAACGAAGATCTCCTGGGTGTTGGATTTGAGGTATAGGAAATGGCTATTGAAAGTGCTTTTAATGGGTATTTCATGGGCATTTAGTGGGATTTAATGATGTTCAATGGGTATTTGATGGGATTTCATGATACTCAATGGGTATTTCATGGATATCTCATGGATTTTATTGGGATAGAATGGTTGTAGGTAGAACCATCAATTAATGATATTTGGGTGTCTGAAATTGACGAAAATAACCAGCCCATTTATGGCCATGGCCATTGAAAAAAGGGAATCTTCCAGACAGCATTGGATGGAATATGATGGAATGGTGTTCCCCTAAATTTCCAGACAAGCCATATGGATCAAAAATGGATGCTTTAGAAGATTGTCTGGATGTATAGCACCATGGTTAATTGGTCCATTGGACTGTCATATCCATGATGACAATGGTGACAAGCAGACGGCTATTGGATAGATCAAGATGTTGCACCATGGATACCAAAACCATCCCACTCCAGGCTGAATGTAGGGATGAAGCCGTAAAATATGAGGCTTTTTTGACTGGGCAATTTGCATCCATTTGCAGCAGTTCGTGAATGGCTCGGCAATTGACATGGTCATATTGTCTAACAACATCAGGAACACAATACTCATATTTTTTTGTAGATATGCTTGGGTTTGTCTCTGAGGCGGCTGATGAATCCACCGAACTCTTATCTTAGTCCGCAAGACTTTCAATTGATCAAGTGAACCAACAGCCCGATGCTACTCCCTCAATTTATGACGTGGAATCACAATTCAATGGGCTCTTTTTGCAGGGTTTCTGGCCGATCTCCCATGAATTCCCATGGGCTCTCACCATTTTTCTGGATTCAACCAGCCATGAAAAAATTTGGCAGGTTTAGCATTGGGACCTCAAACCTAGAGAGATCCTAAAACCGGGTCCTCTGGACCAGGTCACTGACGATATGAAAGAAAGTGACTTGCGATGCTCGCTGCAGCGAGCTGTTTGGGAACACCTTGGGTAATTTTTGTTGGGAGAATCATCTACCCATGGTGTTTGAAGGTGATTTAACCACAATGGGGGGCGTTTTTTTTTGGCCAGGTGAAATTGAGGGTAGTTGCTTAGTTTCCCACCTTCCTGGTTCCTGAGGATGCCAACTACTTTCCTGTGGAATGCTGGATGACGAGCAAGCGACCTGGAAGCCGGTGGTCAGTCCTGCAGATGCTTGGCTGATGTCCAGGGGTCAGAATCCATACTGCTAGTCCTGGAATTCAAAAGAACAGATTGATCAAGAAAAAGCAGGAATATTGTCATTATGAAATAGGTGGACATCCTTGATATTGAATTAATATATCGTAAAATATGAATGAATATGAGGCATATAACATAACATATCAATAGATTGATAGAATAATGTCTATTATGACCCCCTACATACTTGTCTGGAGTCCATCATCTAGAAGAATGGCACTTTTATGCAATGAAAGCAATGGGAATCAGGATGCAACCATGGTCATGGCCACGCAAACCAAATTCGGCCGACTCCAGTTGTTGACAAGTGACCTTGCTGGGCATGGAAACTTGAGCTACAGGTACTTGCATGAGGCATTGATGCTGCTATTTTTTAGAGAGCCTTAGAGAAATGTTGGATGGAATCCCCCCCAAGCTAAGAAACATATATTTCCAATGCTGAATTCATCAGATGATGGGCCCGGGCTCGGGCTTGTTTTTTTCGAAAAAAGATGGTGAAATCTGCCAGGTTTTACCAGGTTGGCTAAGCCAAATCTGGTGAACTCCCCGCCCTTTCTGGTGAACACAGTGAACACCCCAGGTTACCCTCTGGTAAACTAACATAGCTATGGAAAATCACCATTTTTTATGGCTATGTTAATTTACCAGAGGGTAAGCCATGTGAAGTCCCCATTTTTGGCGGGTCGAAAAATTTCGACAACTTCGGGCTTCCAAGGATCTGAAGGCTGCTGCTAACCTGGAACCATGCCAGATGGATGCGCTGAGACATGTGAGGAGCACCCCCCGGAGTGCTTAGTGACCATAGTTCCCATTGATCTATGGGAGAATCATGGATAATCTATTTGGGGGACTTTTTTACCAGGTTTATTTGGCACTAAGTGGGCTAGATGATCGAAGGCCGAATCCACCCAATGTAGGGACACCGAAGATTGACCATAACAGATGATACACAAATAGCCGATTCAGTTTGCTGTGGAAGACGGTTTCAACCCTTCCAACTGTTGGCTTCTAACTATACAATAGAAATATATAGAACTTCTGAATGATGATATCAATGATATCCCCTTGTGTTTTTTCTCTTTGTTTTCAACCTCGAAGATCTTTGGCATCTATCGAGACTTCATCCGGCGCCGAAGGAATTTGGCTCGGATCAACCACAACAAGGCGTTTCTCGGAGCGGTACCCGATCAACCCCATTGGGAACCTCCATAAATCCCAAGCCTGGTTGGAGTCAGATTTCAGTGCAATTCCTAGGCTAAACATAGCATCCAGTAAAGCGTTTTCAGTTAATGAGAAATGTCCCACTTGTAATATATATATATACATACATATATATATACATACATACATATATATATATACATGTATATATATATATATGCTTTCTAATTCAAGTGATTTCAATCCGCATTTTCAGTAGGTAAACAAGTTCCAAGTAAAAACATGGCAAAGGGAAACTGTCCATTTACACCCACAGATGATTTTCACCAATTTTACTGGGGCGCTGAGGTTGCCAGAGCTCACCCAAAGGTTTGAAGGGATGGGATACACCGTGGCAGATATGTGGATGCTTGGCTGCAGGCCCCCTGAAATACAGGGGGGGCACTAAAGACATCTAAAAACCACTTCCAAAAAGCGGTTTATCATTGGCTTTTTTAGTTGGTTGCTTAGGTTGACGGGTCAGCGTACGGGAACAACGATTAAACTTTCGGGACAAATCAAAGCTTGATTTCTTAATGTAACGGATTCTAGCTTTCAAATCTTTGCTGTAGATTATTATGGCAATGATACAGAATCTATGTTGGCTATAATACAATAATTATATCTTTTAATGGAAGATAATTTGTCGTACTGGCATTTGCGCATTTTTTGTACAGTGGCGGGATAGCAAGCAAAATCTAAATCGCGGTCTTGCCACCGGCTTGCAAATATAATCACGTTTTTCTTTCTTCCGGAGTTTTATTTGTCGGACGTATTTGATTATATTCACACTACTACATGGGTCCTGTTTGAAAAGCCCCCTCAAGGATCTTGTTTCCAGGTGAGCAATCAAGACTAAGACGAGAAGCATGTGCGCTGTTGACCCTGCCAGGTAAAAAATGATGAGTTAAATCATATCTGAACTCAGCCCAAAAAAAGAATGCACCAAAGATGTGCGCCCCAACCAGAATGCGGAATAGTACCGCTTGCGGGGACCAACATTTTGACAACCACCCACATGCTATATGCAATCGAGCTGTTTTTTTCAGATTTTGAACTGCGAGAAGTAGAGGCAGTACATATGGGAAACTCGACCAGCCATTTCTGGGTCCATAATATAGTCCATAACCAATGACTTGAGGTAAAATCAGTCATCAACTATTCCCAATAATATTAGCATAAATGAATGGTAAAACAACCCATCCCCAAACGGTAGGTTTGTTATTGGATATTGTTGGATTTACTATACCACATTCTGTGCTGTTTTTTGCATAGTTTTTTTTTTTTTCTGATACTCCTCGTGAATATGTAGTCCCTTCACCGCATGTTTTTGGAATGATAGTCTTCCCGATACTCTTTGGAAATGTTTCTTCCGATAGATACTGTTTGCAATACTCTTTGGAGTGTTTCTCATGTCGGACAGCATTTATTCCAACATTTTCTGCCGAATAGTGTTCTCCCTCTCTTTTTCACATGCTCATTTTCTCCAAATACTCTGTATGAGTAGCTTTCCTGAATACCGTTCTCCAATTGGTTTCCCTTCTACTCCTGCGCTCATTTTTTTCACAGACTTTTTAGACATACTTTTTACGAGTGTTATCCTCCGAAAATACAAACACACTCTTGTTTTGTTGCGGAAAGGTGTTGCAACAGCACGTGTTTGGTTGGATGACAACCCAGTCTCCAGGATGACGTTGGCGTGGATTCGCGAGCTGGCTCCGGTGATCATTCACATCAATCTGCCCGTGATTGGAGAGTTCCTATCGTTCCTTGGACCCATAGTTGTGAGATGGAGATACCATTGTGCAGATGGGCGATATCATAAGTGTGGTGCGTGTTCAAGACTGCACATGGTGTGAATCGCTGCATGTGATTAAACAATATTAAACAGCTAGCATGAGAAAGCAAAGATACAATCAAGAACAGAAACAAACAGCATAAACACCAACATTTTATAGCATTTGCATATACACTTGCATCTACCATACAGACAGACCGGTATCCTCCCTCCTTCCATCCATCAAGATAAAGATCCATCCAACCAGCCATGCATGCATCCATCGATTTGTTTGTGCGGTTATGCATTTTTAAATGCATATAATATCATGTAATGTATGTACTGCAATGCAACGTCATGTAATTTACTGCAATGAATAGAAATACACTGTGATGGAATGCTATGAAATCATTTCAATATATTTGTTATATAGTATGAATGAATTTGAATAAAACATAACAAATCATAATAAATCTATGTATGCAATTGTATGCATATATATATATACACTGTATATGTATATATGTGTATATATATATATGTATATATACGTATATATATATATATATCTGTGTATATGTATATATATATATATATATGTATATATATATACATATATATATGTGTATATATATATATACGTATATATATATATATATACGTATATATATATACATACATATATATATACATACATATATATATATACATATATATATATCTGTACGTATATGTATATATATATTATGCAATTATGTATTGGGATGTACATTACATATGTGAGGTGCAATGCAACGAACCGCGCCCTGCCTAAAACAATATCTGAACAGAAAAGAGCCATCTTCACTGCTCAAGTCTGCCATAACCAGCCCGCGGCAAATTCCTCAGGCAGGATAGCCACTATCGGAACCAGTTTGAGACCAAGTCTTCTCAAGGACTTCTGGATCACTCCGTGCGAGATTCCTGGGAAGGCTCTCTTTTTGGTCGAGCCTATCAGGCCAGCACCAAACTGCCATGGTGGGAAGGATGGAGCAGGGACTGAAAAATTGGGGGAGATATGTGGTTTAGTTGTGTTTCTTTTGAAAGGCTGTTGGGGCTGCTACTACTTGGATCTACCTTGAACTTTGCGAACTCGTTCTTCGGGTGTGGAACACAATAACCTTACACTGCATTTGATGTGTCTACTTCATGCTACACCATACCATGCATGCCATTATGGTAGAATTTGGGGATTCATCCATACCTGAATGCTAAAAGTTCGGTTTTAAATCTGAAGGTTACAATAGTCCAACATACTATTAATTCTATTTAGGGTTCATTATGAACCATACCATACATGCCAATATTGGTCTTACCACTCCTTCAGCCCGGTTCCGCAGGATGCTGACCACTTTCATCGGCCCAAATATGGCGTGCTGAATGTTTGGAACGACCCGTATGGCATCTATGGATGCGCTCCTTGGTCGAATCGTGCAAAGACAGCATCCTGAGATACCACTGCTAGTTGTAAAGGTGTTCCCAATAGGGCGACCCCCATCATAGCTGCCTTTCCTATTGACCCAGCATTTCCCTTTATTTTTCCAGGGATTTCTACCATCCTACGGTCATCCATTAGTTCAAGCAGCGCAAACAGCGAAGCCAGGAACAGTATGGAGATTCCTACTTGGTGCTGAAAGACGTGAGGCTCCGGTGCACCTTGGCTCCGCAGGACTCGGGAGGTCTACCGGCACAAAGGCGCGGTAGTTGTTGACCGGGCTTCAGGACAGCAGAGCCGGGAACCAATGGATTGGCTTAAGGGAAAATTTTAACCGGAAACCATACATTTTCCTATGAAATATGGGGTTTCCTGTAATTTTTCCCTTAAACCAATCCATTCATAGTAGATCCAAGCAACTAGTTGAAGTCAATGTGGCAGATCTGGCAGGTTGGCAGTCTTGGATTACTACGCTCATACCCTGCTGGTGCCTTGGCTGCATCCGTGCCGGATTGGAACTGGACATCTACTTATGGGGCACCTGAAGATTGAAACATAGCCGGGCAATACGGTTTCACAACCCAAATTCCCAGGGATGCGATCGCAAACCAATTCCAAACCAGAGCAACTGGACCTAGCAGTAGGTTTCAAACATTTCCTTTGATTTCTAGTATGGTTATGGTTTGATGGTGATGGCTCGAAGTTTCAAACTATCGGAAGTGTTGTCCGATGGCATTCAAACCATCATTGCGGGACCCACCAGCTTGACACAAAACTTTTGACTGCACTCTCTCTCTCTCTCTATATATATATATTAATATATATATATATTAATATATATATATATATTAATATATATATTAATATATATATATTAATATATATATACACGTATGTATGGGTGATATCCGCAAATCACATTATTATCATGATATGATATATCATGATATATATATATATATATAATAAGCATATTCCATGAAAAATAGAGGGAACATTCTAGCCTGTCTGATCACCATCGGTAAGCACCATATCTAAGTTGGTTTTGTCGCAAACAGAGGATTTACACCCAATATATGCCACAAACATGCGGAACATAAGATTGTAAATCATCGGATGGAATGGGGCGAACCCATTAACCTATCACACAGATTGATTGCCTTTGATTGAGCGAGGGCTATTTATTTTAGGGCTTGTTTGATAAGGTTTGTTCCTTTTTGATTCCTGCTTTTCTCCTTCTCTGCTTTTCCCATTTTTTCTTGTCTTGCTTCTGTTTTTTTTAAAATTTCTTCTCCCGCTTTTTTGCTTTTCCTGCTTCTCTGCGTTTCTTCTTTTCTGCTTTTCTTGCTTCTCTCTTTTCTGTTTCCCTGCTTTCCGCTTTTTGCTTTTCTGCTTCTCTGCATTTCTACAGTCATGCGCTTTTGCTGCCCTACTTCCTGCTTCTCTGCTTCTCTGCTTCACTGTCTCTTTGCTTTTCTGTTTCTTTGCCTTTATTCTCTCTTGTTTGTATCCTAAATGAAGGCCTACAGGAACCCAGGATGAAGCCCAAAGACACCCTAAAGAAATCCTATATAATAAGAAACCCTAAATGAAACTCTATTTTTTTTTTGTGCCTTACGGCACTGGTACTGGTGCGACACACAAAAAAACAAATCCTTAAACTATTCTTCATCCTTGAATGAAGATTAGTTAAGACATGTTAAGACAATTCTTTATTTGAGACAACCCCATTTTCTTGACATCATCCCACCTCCCAGGAGTACAGTCGAGAGGAGTTGGAAGAAACCGCCACTGTTCGACGAGCTGGGCCATGGGATCTGGAGAAATTTTGGGGACCTTCCCAAAACCAACGTGGAAACCGTGGAACCCCTTCAACATAATTCAAAGTATCTACATCACCTGATAGTTCCAGGATGAAAGCGCCTGTGGATTGAAACAGGAAATTTGTTGGGCGACTGAACTCCGAGAACATCGAATTTGATGAATTTTGCCTGGATGTAAATTGATCTGTGCTGTTTTTGCAGAAGGCATCCACTGGTTGAGCGGTTTGAAGTATGCATCTCTTTCAATATTATATATTGTATATATATAATTATATATATATACATACATACATACATACATACATACATACATACATACATATATGTACATATATATGTATATACATACATACATACACATACACATACATAGATACATCTCCTTTTTACATTTTTTCCCACTTCAATGAGTGGGGTCCTATTCAGGATGGTTGAAAGCGCCTCGTCCGAGGTCAAGTTGGCACGCCATGGCCGTGAAAAACTGGGCGATTCCCAACGCCTTTGTCACGACTGGGGCACCAAGCCTTAAAGGAACCTAGGGGCTGGAGATCTCAAATTAGCCCCACTATTTGTGTCTGAAAATGTGGGATTTGTTCCTACTATGGATGTTTTAATGGGTATAATTCTGACTAACCGGTGGATATATATATATACTGTATATATATATATATATATATGTGGCAGGGACCTTTGGGGTCTATTTCGTTCGTTGGCCTAGAAAGGCATCTTCTTCAATCTAATGAGCGCTACAGCAAACATTTGTATAATCGCGCGAGACTTTCCGAAGCGCTGGACGTTGATCGGAGACAGTAACTGGGATGGGAGGGTGGGACTGTTAAACACATGTACTGGCTTGCTCGTTGCTGCGCCCTTGCTGCAAAGCTCAGATGAAGGGCTGGGCACGCAGAATCTTTTGAAACTGAACATGTTCATCCACAACCTCCTGCAGCGCTCTGCGTGGATATAACGTTTTGGTTTCTTCATCCATGGGTATGGGATGGATCTGTTGCAGCCTCCATTTCCACGGTGGTGACTTCAATGGGCGGGAAGGCTGGGCGGGAAAACTGCTTCAAGTTTGCTGAAAAAGTTCCACCAAAGGCTGGGCACTTTCTAGTACGGAACATGTTTAAACACAACCTCCAGCAGCGCTCTGCGTGAGCATGACGTTTTGGTTTCTTCATCCGTGGATATGGGGTAGATCTGTTTCAGCCTCCATGTCCATGGTGGCGACTATGGACGGGAAGGCTGGGCGGAAAACTGCTGCACGCTTGCTGAAAAAGCTCTGCCAAAGGTTGGGCAGACAAAATATCGACTTTTTCAACGGAACATGTTTACCCACAACCTACTGCAGCGCTCTGCGTGAGTATGACATTTTCGTTTCTTCATTCATGGATATGGGATGGGTTGTTTCAGCCTCCATGTCCGTGGTGGCAGCAATCATGGATGGGAGGGCTGGGTGGGAAAACGGACGTGCTGGCTTGTGTGCTGTTGGGCGATTGCTGATGGTTGGGCACGCGAAGCTCCTTGTCAACGCTTCGTTAACCCGACAACGCGGTCCATATTGGAACAAGCCAGGCAACACCAACCACAGGCCCCAATCGTGCCTCCTCGATTGCAGTGAACCCTTGCAAGCCTACCAGGGCACTTGGTGAGACTGTTGCAAAAACTAAACAAGGAAGGTGGCACAGGACTTGCATCGCTTCGGACTTGCAAACACATCTTCAACACACATGTCACATATGCATGAACAGAGGCTTGGACTTTCTTTTCTCCAATCCGATGCACTGCTGCACGCTATCGTCGAAGCCTTTTCGGCTTGACGCCGGAAGATCGAATCGAGTGCACACGTTTGACAGAGTGGACTGTCCTCTTTCCGCGTCTCTTCATGGGGATTGTTTGCTTCCACTTCTGTACCTTTCTGGCTTCCGCTTGCCGCGCCCGATGCAAAGGTACAGGTGCCTTGGCAGACGAGCAACAGTTTTGCCAGGTGGCATCGGTCCAGACATCAGTGGCCACTGCCCGCGCAAGCAGGACAGCTTCTGAAGTCTGCTGCACCGTAGGAAAACACGAGGCGACATGATGGGCGAGCACCTTGCCAAACTGCATAATTTCAAGCTTCTGCCGCAGTGTGCTCTGGTGCAATGAACGGATGGACTTAGTCCACGAATTTATCTCGGCATGAAGGGACTCATTAGAGGACGTGCCGCTTGGCAGCAACCCCCGCTCTAGAGGGGTTAGATCGTGCCGCACACGGAGGTTGTTCATCAGCCATTCCAATCTATCTGGTGCTGTGGCTGCCCAAAGAACCTTCCTAATTTCTTTGTTGGAGCCTGTCACTTTACGGCTCACCTCATGTGGGTACGTTGCACAAAGGGCGGCTAATGCCTCAATGAAGGTGATTCGGCAGAACAAAGGCGAATCTGGATGAAGGTTGTCCAGGATGCGTTTGGCCCTGGTTGCGCCCATGCTGCCGTCAGTGATGAGATGTCGTGCCCGCTCTTCATCGCGAGTCAGGCTTGGCGGTGCGGTGCCAGTGAAGAGGGGCCCCCAAGAGCTGGAACGCATGTTCGGGGCTACCTGGTTCATCTTATGTAGCAAACACCGTAGAACTTTCGATCCAGCCGTCTTCTTCCCCCACTGGGCATATTCGTAGACAATGGCCAGATGAACAGGATCCAAGGAGAGGCAGCTCAGGTTTGGGCAGATCTCTTTCAACTCGCGGAAGAGCTTAGGAGAGGGGTTGTCCGTAGCTAAATATCGAACCTGGAACAATGCCTGGTTGGAGAAAAGATTGCGCAGAGATTCCTTGATCTTTGGTGACTCTTCACTCGGAACAGGAACCATGCCTAAGACGGCACCGGTACGCCCCCTGATAGTCAGCACCCTTCTCAAAGAATGCTCATCATCAAAGCAAGCCGCATTTCGGGTTTGGGCCGATGCTCTATAGTTTGCTTGTCCCTGCACAGTCATGCAGACTTTGAGTGTAGCATCAATGGACAAGCACAAGAATTCCTGACTGTGTTCCAAAGTTTTGAAGATGGAGCTCTTCAAGCTTTGGACTTGATAGGACATGTAGATGTCCTCCACAAGAGGCCACCAATGACGTGTATGGGAAGGGTACAAGTTCCCAAGCATGTTGCCGGCTTCCAAAGCCCGCAAATGTACACGAGGCCAAATGCTCTTGAGCTCAGAAAAGAACTATGAACATCATTCCAAGGCATGGTTGACACCGTAAAAAAAATATGATCCTGCTCTGACACAAGTTAAAACGATGACATTGCACGTGCATGTTCTGCTGCTGCCAAGGAACACTCGAATGGTGCAAGACAATTTCCCTGTAGACCATTTCGGCAAAGGATTTGTCGTAATAGATGTTCAACACTCTGCGGGCAACGATTTGTTCTCCAAGGGCCTTTTGGTTGACATATCTTGGACCGTCTTTCTCTAGCAGCAGAGAGGAGGAACCACTTGAGTTCTAAGGAGCATGGCACTGCGAAACAAGTAGTCTGCACCGTTCTCTTTGCGGACAGAATCTGAATCGTGCAAGGCCAAAATCACTTTTAACTGCTTCTTTCCTGAGCACACAAACTGCTTGGCGGCGACATGATGGCGCCTCAGGTGATCAGAGAGCTGGCACAATCGACCAAAAGCTCGGAAAGGGCAGAAAGGGCAACAGTATGCACCGTGCATCTTCCGAATGTTGTTGTGCTCAATTTCTTCCATGAAAGCATGAACTTCCTCCTCCAAGGAATCTTTGATGATGTCTTGGAAAGTGATTTGGCCCTCGTCGTCGATCACGAAGCGGGGCTCTGCTGGCTCTCCGCCCTCGTCATCGTCGTCAGAACTTGCACCGCCTTGCTTATCATCTGAGCTGCCGCCTTGAACATCATGACCCTGTTTGAATTCCCGAAGCTTCTGTCTGCACAGCATCACCTGCGACTCCCAAGTCCTCTTGCTTATCCCCCCATCGCATGGGTTGGGAATCTCACCCAAGAAGTCTGAGGCATGCAATGTATCACAATGATTCCTGAGCATAGATATGTACACCCTCAATCTTTTTTCTACGCGGGTGACCAGCGCAGAATCTTGAATACTCCGCTACCAGCTCCCCTACCAGCTCCGCTACCGACATGCAACAGCAGCAACACCAGCCCCACATCCGATATAATTCGGTGACCGATAAGGCTCCCTTTTCGCAACTTTTTAGGGTGGGTGGGTTCTAGCTTGTAGCCAAAACGACAACTGCCCTAACAGAGCTGTTATACCTCTCTTGTTTGTCGGCCTTTTGGTTTCTCATAGACCATCTCCAGCAGACAGTTCGGCCGTGTTGCCCAAAGCAAACAAAGGCACCATCAAGCAATCAAGCATGTGATTCCCTCCCGCAACACCAGCTAGGAATACTCCGCTACCACCTCCCCTACCACCTCCTCTACCGACATGCAACAGCAGCAACACCAGCCCCACATCCGATATAATTCGGTGACAGATAAGGCTCCCTTTTCGCAACTTTTTAGGCTGGGCGGGTTCCAGCTTGTAGCCAAAACGACAACTGCCCTAACAGAGCTGTTATACCTCTCTTGTTTGTTGGCCTTTTGGTTTCTCATAGGCCATCTCCAGCAGACAGTTCGGCCGTGTTGCCCAAAGCAAACAAAGGCACCATCAAGCATGTGATTCCCTCCCGCGAAACCAGCTAGGAATACTCCGCTACCAGCTCCCCTACCAGCTCCGCTACCGACATGCAACAGCAGCAACACCAGCCCCGCATCCGATATAATTCGGTGACAGATAAGGCTCCCTTTTCGCAACTTTTTAGGGTGAGTAGGTTCTAGCTTGTAGCCAAAACGACAACTGCCCTAACAGAGCTGTTATACCTCTCTTGTTTGTCGGTCTATTAGCTTCTCACGCAGCATCCGTCAGTCTAGATTGTACAATGAAACATGAATGGTCCCTGCCAAATCAATAATATGTCATATGTACTATGCCATCATATTTCAAAGGTTTTTTGTTTTAGAAAAAGAACTATATATTATAATATGTTAATGGGAAAAATGCAAGCCAAGAACAAGAATATACAAAAAGGTACAACCAGAAGCTTAAAGAACAAGCTTAAAAATGTTAAAAGGTAAGTCCAGCAAAGCAAATACAAAGGCAAAAGCCAAGAAGCAGGCGCAAAAACGAAGACACAGACGCAAAGGCCCAGAAGCAAGCGCAAAAGCCAAGAGAAAGGCGCAAAGGCCAAGAGACAGGCGCAAAGGCCAAGAAGCAGGCGCAAAAACGAAGAAACAGATGCGAAAGCCAAGAGGCAGGCGCAAAGGCCAAGAGACAGGCGCAAAGGCCAAGAGACAGGCGCAAAGGTCAAGAGACAGGCGCAAAGGCCAAGAGACAGGCGCAAAGGCCAAGAGACAGGCGCAAAGGCCAAGAGACAGGCGCAAAGGCCAAGAGACAGGCGTAAAGGCCAAGAGACAGGCGCAAAGGCCAAGAGACAGGTGCAAAGGCCAAGAGACAGGCGCAAAGGCCAAGAGACAGGCGCAAAGGCCAAGAAGCAGGCGCAAAACCAAGAAACAGCCGCGAAATGTAAGAAGCAGGCGCAAAGGCCAAGAGAAAGGCGCAAAGGCCAAGAGAAAGGCGCAAAGGCCACGAGACAGGCGCAAAGGCCAAGAGACAGGCGCAAAGGCCAAGAGACAGGCGCAAAGGCCAAGAGACAGGCGCAAAGGCCACGAGACAGGCGCAAAGGCCAAGAGACAGGCGCAAAGGCCAAGAGACAGGCGCAAAGGCCAAGAGACAGGCGCAAAGGCCAAGAGACAGGCGCAAAGGCCAAGAGACAGGCGCAAAGGCCAAGAGACAGGCGCAAAGGCCAAGAGACAGGCGCAAAGGCCACGAGACAGGCGCAAAGGCCAAGAGACAGGCGCAAAGGCCAAGAGACAGGCGCAAAGCCAAGAGACAGGCGCAAAGGCCAAGAGACAGGCGCAAAGGCCAAGAGGCAGGCGTAAAGGCCAAGAGACAAGCGCAAACAGTCCAAAGAAGCAGGCGCAAAACCAAGAACCCCGCGAAATGTAATCCTTTTTAATCCGTTTAATCCTTTTTTAATTAATCAATCCTTTTAATCCTTTTAATCCCCAGACCCAGATCTGGAGTCTTAAGGGCCCAAGCATTGGATTAAATTACATTTTAATCTTTTAATCCACTTTTATCCCCCAAAAGGTCTCTGGAGGATTAAAAGGTTAAAAGGATTATATAATGGTCCTACATTGGGGTTCTGGGGGCCTGGTCGGATTAAAAGGATTAAAAGATTCAAAGGATAAAAGGGATTAAAAAGGATTAAAGGATTAAATGATTTAATCTCTTTTAATCCTTTAATCCCCCAAAGGCTCTGGAGGATTAAAAGGATTAAAAGGATTAAATGCTTGGTCCTCACATTGGGGTTCTGGGGGCTCTGGAGGATTAAAAGGATTAAAAGGATTAAATGATTTAATCCATTTAATCCCCCAAAGGCTCTGGAGGATTAAAAGGATTAAAAGGATTAAATCATTTAATCCTTTTAATCCTTTTAATCCTCCAAAGCCTCTGGAGGACTAAAAGGATTAAAAGGATTAAATGCTTGGTCCTCACATTGGGGTTCTGGGGGCTCTGGAGGATTAAAAGGATTAAAAGGATTAAAGGGATTAAAAAGGATTAAATGATTTAATCCTTTTAATCCTTTTAATCCTTTTAATCCCCCAAAAGCTCTGGAGGATTAAAAGGATTAAAAGGATTAAATCATTTAATCCTTGTAATCCATTTAATCCCCCAAAGGCTCTGAGGATTAAAAGGATTAAAAGGATTAAATCATTTAATCCTTTTAATCCGTTTAATCCCCCAAAGGCTCTGGAGGATTAAAAGGATTAAAAGGATTAAATCATTTAATCCTTTTAATCCTTTTAATCCTTTTAATCCCCCAGAGATCTGGAGTCTAAGGCCCAAGCATTGGATTAAATGATTTAATCCTTTTAATCCTTTTAATCCTCCAAAGCCTCTGGAGGATTAAAAGGATTAAAAGGATTAAAAGGATTAAATGCTTGGTCGTCACATTGGGGTTCTGGGGGCTCTGGAGGATTAAAAGGATTAAAAGGATTAAATGATTTAATCCGTTTACTCCATTTTAATCCCCCACAGGCTTCTGGAGGATTAAAAAGGATTAATAGGATAAATGATTTAATCCTTTTAATCCTTTTAATCCTCCAAAGCCTCTGGAGGATTAAAAGGATTAAAAGGATTAAAAGGATTAAATGCTTGGTCGTCACATTGGGGTTCTGGGGGCTCTGGAGGATTAAAAGGATTAAAAGGATTAAAAGGATTAAAAGGATTAAAAGGATTAAAAGGATTAAATGATTTAATCCTTTTAATCCTCCAAAGGCTCTGGAGGATTAAAAGGATTAAAAGGATTAAATCATTTAATCCTTTTAATCGATTTAATCCCCCAAAGGCTCTGGAGGATTAAAAGGATTAAAAGGATTTAATCATTTAATCCTTTTAATCCTTTTAATCCTTTTAATCCCCGAGATCTGAGTCTAACTGCCAAGCATTGGTTAAATGATTAAATCCTTTTAACCTTTTAATCCTCCCAAGCCTCTGGCGATTAAAAGATTAAAAGATAAATGCTTGGGGGTCTCACATTGGTTCTGGGGGCTCTGAGGATTAAAAGGATTAAAAGGATTAAAAGGATTAAATGATTTAATCCTTTTAATCCTCCAAAGGCTCTGGAGGATTAAAAGGATTAAAAGGATTAAATCATTTAATCCTTTTAATCGATTTAATCCCCCAAAGGCTCTGGAGGATTAAAAGGATTAAAAGGATTTAATCATTTAATCCTTTTAATCCTTTTAATCCTTTTAATCCTTTTAATCCTCCAGAGCCCCCAGAACCCCAATGTGAGGACCAAGCATTTAATCCTTTTAATCCTCCAGAGGCTTTGGAGGATTAAAAGGATTAAAAGGATTAAATGATTTAATCCTTTTAATCCGTTTAATCCCCCAAAGGCTCTGGAGGATTATAAGGATTAAAAGGATTAAATCATTTAATTCTTTAAATCCTCTCAATTTTCCAAAAAGCTTTAAACATTATGAGAATTAACCGGAACAAAATGGTACCTAAAGGGCTCTCGATCATATATATATATGACTTAGACTGTTTGTCTGAAATATGGTTTTATACGCACCTCATGCCATTTTGTTGTCACTTTCCATTCCTGGGTCTCCCCTCTCGTCCCTTCCTGTCTCCATCCAGTGACTTTCCGCCCAAGGCTCTGTCAGAGCACCCACCAAGAAGAAGACCACCTCGCTGACGTCGTGCAAGGTCTCCGCCACAGCCTCCTCGAACTCCTCGCGACGTTGTGAAACGGTGAATCCTAATGGCAATGGAAAGAAAAGACATGGAGATGGTAATTCATATGGCAATTAATATTGATATATAATCTTTTGTCAATATGTGAAATATGGATTAGTATGGATATAATATGGAAAGAGTTAAAATAGCTTTTGAAATGGAAAAGATTTAAAATAGAACTATTTAAATCTATTTAATAGCTAAAGGGTCAACCACCAACCAGCGCTCTGCACCTGACTGGGCATCGTCACTCCGGTGCCAATCAGAGCCCACCTGAATCGGGCGTTGTATCATCCTATCAGGATCCATATCTTCACCAACCTGAATAGTTGGGCCATAAAAGGGGATGATTTCCCTAATCCTAACCATGATTTCCAGTGAGGGAGAACAGTGAGGTCGTTATAATTTACCTAGGCCCTAGATTATATCTGTAACGAACCATGCCATAACGCGAAAAGGGGAAAAACTGAAAAAGATTTTTAAAAATAAAGGCAGCCCCAATTCCGCGCCATTTTTCGGTGTTCGGATTCACTAGTGGATGGAATGAAATGGAACACCTCACCTTTTTG